TTTCATTGACTGATGAAGCCATGTTTTGGTTGGACCACCACTAGCTCTTTTCCAATCTGTCTGTCTGTCTGTTTTCGACATAGAACTTTGCACAAATGTGCGGAAGTTCAAGTCGCCACATTCCGTGTAGCACGCGAAGCAAGAGAAGAAAGTACAAGAAAAGCATAATAGAAACAGTGAGCAGAGGTGTGAGACAAAGGAGTAATAAAGAAATACAAAACAGTTTCATTGAAGATCATAAGTCACAGGGAGTGGATGCATCTGCGCCACTGAGAACGATTTTGAGCCATGTCACCAATTGTTTCCAACCATAGATTTTTACTGTCCCGAGGACCCCAGCCTGGAAGTCTACACCTTCCTACGTGGCTTAGACCAACTGTTGTGGATTTGATTGACTGGTGCCAAGTTTTTGTCTGACCGCCGCTAGCTTTTTTCCAGCCTGACCCTATATCCGCTAACATTGCTCGTCGAGGGAGGCGATGGCTTGGCATACGTAACACATGTCCTAACCATCTCAGTCTTTGTAGCTTCACGACTTCGTCGATTGATTTCCCCTGTTTACCTAGAACTCTACGCCTAACCTCCATGTTGCTCACCTTATTATGCCACTTTACACGGGAAATAGAACGCAGGCACCTATGATCAAAGACAGCTAGTCTTTTCATGTCTTCCACTCTCAGTGGCCAGGTCTCACAACCATAAAGGAGGACGGAGCGGACTGATGAGCAGTACACCCGCCCTTTGGTCGATAGTCGAACATCTCGTCTACGCCAGAGTCGGCGTAAACTAACAAATGCGAAACGAGCCCCTTGTATTCGTGCTGAGATTTCGTCAGAGATCAGCCCGTTGGGGCTGATGGTACTTCCCAAATAAGTGAAGCGGTCAACGTGCTCTACCACTTCACTTCCTATTTTTAAACTAGGCGTCGATGTAGTCCAGTCCTGTAACATCATCTTGCATTTGGCGGGAGCGAATCGCATGCCAAACATTCGTAGATTGCGGCTCAAGGTGTTTAGAAGACTCTGCATTTTGTCAGCGTCGTCGCCTAGAAGGACTATATCGTCTGCATATTCCAAGTCAACGAGATTATTCCCCGGTAGCAAGTCAATTCCTGAGTCACTGAAGTCACCTAGGGTTAAGTCCATTAACACATCTATGATGAAGTTGAATAGAAAAGGAGATAATGGGCATCCTTGACGGACACCACTGGTCGTCATCAGTTCAGATGACAGCTCGCCGTAAGCCCTCACCTGGCTGTATGAGTACGAATAGAGTGCCTTAATCAGTGCAATATATTTTCTTGGAATTCCCTTTACAGCCAAGCATCTCCAGAGAACTTCCCGATCGACAGAGTCGAATGCTGCCTTTAGGTCAAGAAATATAATGACTGTTGGACGCCGGTAGGAATTCCTATGTTCTAGAATCTGTCGGAGGGTGAAGATATGATCAATACACCCTCTTCCTGGTCTAAAGCCTGCCTGGCTCTCTCGTGTTTGTGCTTCCCGAGCACCACTCAGTCTACGCATGATTATTGAGCCTAAGACTTTAGATACTATATTAGTCAAGCTAATCCCTCTGTGATTATCACAGGAAGACTTGTCTCCCTTCTTGTATATGGGGATAATCAGTGACTTACACCAACCCGATGGGACTTCTTCTGATTCCCAGACGCTGCCTAGTACCTCAGTTAATCCGGACAGTAAGCTGTCTCCACCGTACTTAAATACCTCTGGAGTCATTCCATCAGGTCCCGCTGCTTTGCCTAGTTTCAGATTGGTGACAGCTTTAGTAACCTCAGTTAGTGACGGAGGACCTGTGTTTATATCCCATTCAGGGAGGTGTTGGATGCTCGGAAGGTTGAGCGTGGCTGTGGGCCAATTAAACTGCTCCTCATAATGCTCTTTCCAACGATCCAGTCGTCTATCCTGGAGCTAATTATAGTGCCATTTTTTTCCGAGATTGTCTCACTAATGATTTGTCTTCTCCCACCCGTTTCCCTGATGAGTCCAAAGAGTTGCCTGGTGTTGCCTATCCTCAAGCTTTCTCCATCTCTTTGGCTTTTGTCGCCCACCACTGTTCACGGTCCTTGCGGAGACTTTTCGTAAGTTTCCTCTTGTGCAGCTTTCGCTCCTCATTGAATTCGGAGCTCGCCGGAATAAGTCTTCTAGCATCTATCAGTTCGGATGAGGCGGTGGAGATCCAGTGGTTTTTACTCACCTTTGGGTTTACCTTATTCACAGCTTTTACAGCTGTATCTATGGCTGCCTGGATATTTTTCCAAGCTTCTTCAGGGTGAGCACAGCTGTCGAACACAGATATGTGTTTAGCTAGTTCTTCCTGAAATACGGATTTAGTTTCCTGATCGAGCTGGGGACGTGATGGTTTTACCGCCAGCTGTTTCCTACGTCCGTTCAGTCGTAAGCACACCCGAGCGCGGACCAGTGCATGGTCGGTATCTACGCACGTGTTCCAGAAGGAGCGACAATCTCCTACCGACCCACGCCAACGATAGCTTATTGCTATGTGGTCTATTTGTGTCCAGCGTTGGTTTGATGAAGGGGGTCTCCAAGTCAAACAGTGTCTTTCCTTGTGTTTAAAGTTAGTGCTTACAAGAAACAAATGATTATCAGAGCAGAACTGTAGGAGACGGTCACCGTTGTCGGTTCGCTGGCACGGAGCTCCATAGGTGCCACCGACATCCTTCTCAGATTGACACAATTTCCCTACTTGAGCATTAAAGTCACCAGCTAGAACGACTATGTCTGAGCGTTTAGCCTTTCCACCAAACTAGACAGCTTTTGGTAGAACTCATCCTTCGTTTCATCTGAACTGCAGTCAGTGGGGGCGTAGGCGGAGATTACGAAAAGGCATCGGCGAGTAGTGCAGTCCTTCCTCCTTCTTACTGATCCGTTCAGGCGGACAGCACACATTCGGCTATCTACCGGGATCCAGTCAAGCAATGTCTTTTCTGCCCTAGTACTCAAAGCTATCCCTACGCCAGCTAATCCTCGTGAACTAGCTGTGGCATCTCCTGACACCCTCAGGGTGAATTTTGCAGATTCAACCTGTTGGCCAGGTGGGGTTAGGTGAATAACCACACTTGGGTCTTGTATGCGTGTTTCTGAAACACAGCATACATCAATGGCTCGAGATGCCAGGGTCTTGGCTAGTGATGCTTGTTGTCCTATTTGGCAAAGTGTCCTAACATTAAGAGCTCCTATATGAAATTGGTGGCGCGGCTTTAAGAGGCTGTCGGTGGTGGTTTTTTGGCTTCCATCGTTTTTAGTGGACGCAGAGTGGAGAGGAAGTGGAGAGCTATCAAGTCGAGGAGTTGCATCAGTGGAAGGAAGGCAAGATGATAGAGATGAAGATGAAGACAAAGATGAGTGAGTAATAGAGAGGTTTCGTGTGCATTTCGGATTGTGAGGGCGATTGTTACTTCCCGGCTGCCCACACCGTGGAAGTTGGTTGCGTGACCGCAGAGCCCGGGGGACAACTGCTTGAGGCCGGTCACACGCGGCCTGTTTTTGTTCGTTCTTTTTTGTTTGGTGTGTCTCAGTAGCAGATTTATCACTCCCGCCCTGTGACACGGCAGCAGGAAGCGCGGTCGTTGTTAATCCGGGCCACGGCCGATCCGGCATGAAATTTTGTAATTTTGTATTGGACATGATGTTGGATTGGGTAGCTGCTTTTTGTTTAACCGCTATCCAAACAACCTGCCTGGCATGGTAGAACCTCAAGAGACATAAGTCTCAGCCAGTATAGCTTGATTAGGTCATTGCGGTGTTCAAGCCCGACCACCACGTCAAGGTAGCAGCTTTCGAATCCTATATCAGTGAGCGTGAACGAAGGCGATGGCCAAGCATGCTTACCACATGTCCTAACCATCTCAGTCTATGTAGCTCCACAGCCTCGTCGATTGATTTCTCCTACTTACCTAGCACTCGACGCCTAACCTCAATATTGCTCACCCTATTATACCACTTCACATGGGAGACAGAACGCAGGCACCTATGATCAAAGATAGTCAGCCTTTTGGTATCTTGTACTTTCAATGGCCATGTCTCAGTCATATAGGAGGAGGGAGCGAACTGCTGAGCAGTACACATGCTTCTCAGTCGATAGCCGGATATCGCGTCTACCCAGAGATGTCGTAAACTGGCATATGCGAAACGAGCCTTCTGTATCCGTACTGAGATTTCGTCAGCGATCAACCCGTTGGGATTTATGCATCTTCCAAAACAAGTGAAGCGGTCAACGCGCTTTACCACTTCACTTCGTATTAAAGTAAAAAGAAACGCAAAATAGAGACAGTTAACAGAGATATGAGGCGAAAAGAATAGTAACAGGAGCGAATCGCATGCCAAACATTCGAAGATTGCTGCTCAATGTGTTCAAAGGACTCAGAATGTTGTCGGCGTCTTCACCTAGGAGGACAATATCATCTGCATATTCTAAGTCAACAAGATTATTCCCTGGTAACAAGTCAATCCCTGAGTAGCTGAAGTCAGTTAGGGTTAAGGCCACTAGTACACCTATGAAGAAGTTAAACAGTATTAAATGGGGGCATACCTGACGGATACCACTGGTTGTTGTCACTTGAGATGACAACTGTCTGTAGGTTGTCACCTTGCTAACCGCATGAGTTCAAGTGGAGTGCCTTGATCAGTTCGATGTATTTTCTCGGCATTCTCTCTACAGCGAGAAACTCCGCTGCGCAGAAAAGTCGACACCCAGATGTAGTCCGTGGTACAAATGGTGCAGTTTAGTGGGAGTTTTATGATCTTTAACTATCCAAAAAATGTCGTTCGCCATTATCCACCGTAGGTAATGCGGTTTCCGTGGTGGGTAACACTAATAGTGAATCATCACTGTTGGCAAAAAATACTGCAATTCAATTAGCATATTTCATTCTTCTTAACTGCTCATGTGAAAACTCAACTGTTACTTTGTTTTTCGGTTTCAAAATGAAGTTCCCTTTTTGTTTTCCATCATTGTAGTTACCTGCTGGATACGATAAGTTTGATGATTTATGCGAATTGGTTCTGGAAAGCGAGCCTGGCAATGTTTATGCCCTTGAAGCTTTCTTCCGTCTACAAATAGAATTTTTCATGTGTAAGTTTATTGCAGAGTATGCATTTTGTACTTTTCTTTCATATTTTGATCGGAGCATACTGAAGTCAGACGGAATTGTGTATAAAGAATAGTGCTAGTGGGGACTACTGCAGGAATCACTTTCATTGGTTGGGTGGATAGTCATCTTAAAATATCCAAAAGAAATACGGGAATAGTGCAGCAGTGATTTGTGTATTCGAAAGTAGATGATTTGAGTCGCCCTTTGATAACGGTGGTAGATTGCTGTAGCTCATCGTTGTTTTGTTACTTAGATGCCAATGAAAAGAATTTAAAAGTGATTTGTTTCGATTGTGTGTTATTAAAAACTTAACTAAATAGTAACCTGTTTCAGCATCGATTTCTAACAAGGTAACTTGAATCATGTTTATTTTTAAGTTCAATTATCCGGAATAGATTTTCCATGTATCAGAGTAAGAGTCACACTTGTTGTGTTAAGGATAACAGTTCTACCCAGTTATTCATGCTGAAGTGGATGGAATGGAACTCGAACCCGTTGCCCGCGGCTTGAAAACCGAGTACTTAAGCCAATGAACCATCTTCAACTTAATACTGAGTGAACTACACTAGATAATCGCATGTTCATACATTGGACCATGAATCACATTATGTAACAGTAATGGTAGGTTGAACTATTGAGTCCATAATTCAATTAATGGAAGGCGACTTCAATATCCTGTAAAAATAGCCTTATATAGTTTTCAGAGGAGCATATATTACCAAGAAATTAACGGTTTCATAGTGGTGTTGAGACTAGTAAGATCGAACATATCAAATGTAATATCAGGAGCTGAATAGAACTAGCTTGCTAGGATGTGGAGTGTGTTAACAATTCGAAATGTCGGAGGAAAGTAGTAGATTCCATCTCAGTTACTTAATCCCAGGGAACTCAGACTTGTGCTTAGTAACAAGTAATTGTGCTTTGGCGCCCTAGACTTGACTTAGTGGTTTGGCCCTACTACCTATGATGATCAAAACGAATATTTCATCAGGTTTTATCATTTCAAGAAGGTCAGTTGGATAGTCATTAGGTTAAAAAGTCACAGTAATGCTTACTCTACTAATGCTGCTTTCTTGCTCCGAAGAAGACGGATTAGAAAAGCTGTACATCGCGCTTTACCCCACGGTATTCCATAATCAGCGGTGATGGTTTTCTGTACAAAAGTACTTCGCGAACCCCGTTTTTAAACATCAGGTGCACCCGCCCTCATTTTGGGTCCCGCATAGTGAACCCACACTAATTAGTTTACACTTTCGGAAGAAATCAGTTTTTTGTGTAGGCAGTCTGGAAGTATTAACCTCACCCTTGCCCCCGTTTTTGCTACTGAGTTAAGTTCTTTCACATTCTGCTAACTCTCTGAGCTTTCCCAGCGGCTAAGCCAGGGTTACGTTTTTAGTCCCTGCTATCCTTACGTTGAAGTTTTCAAAGGCCAAACCTTATACCAAATCGTTCGTCAGGCCTCACTAAGAAAACTGGCATCTTGGGATTCGGATCCATTCTTTGTCCCTGAAGCACATGCAAGACCCAAGTGTAGTTTTCGAAATTCTTAACGATGACGGAAAATTCTTAAGCCAGATTAAAGAGAAAGACAACACTAAACAAGTCGAAAAGCAGCGAACAAAATTTATCTTAAGTTGATAAAGGACTGAGAAACCAGCTCACAGACCTACAGAATTATCCAACCTCCTGGTTCAACAGTTTGATACCTATATGGTTTGCCCAAAATCCACAAATAGGGTTTACTCATGCGTCCTGTCCTAGATATTTCTAGATCATCCTGTCATCTTGTGGCAAGATGGTAGAAATTTCAGGACCTGTGAGGAAGTTAATAGTAAAGCATTTTTTGACAGATGCGTTTGAATACCTGCGGCAAGGTGAATGAACTTATCTGAATCAGTTATGGCTTCAAATGATTCAGAATGTATGCTCACCAATGCGCCCTTAGTGGAAAGTGTGGACTACTTATGCCAGTTTATCGACTCAAATAATTTTAATGTTGATATACCTACTAACTATATGAAAGGGGTAATACTATAGTGCGCATTATATCTGCAGTTTTTATTCAACAGTCAATCTACAAACAGAAAAATGCGATAGGAATAAACTCCTTACTTGGTCCACTTGTCACTGGTTGCTTTATACCATACTTGGAATGTAGTAACCTCCCAACTTAACCTTCTCCATCGATAAGCATTTACAAAGTAAAACTGATGCTCCGCTAAACTTGAATGTACCGGAAAATAACCAATTGAAAATCTGAAACCCTTGAATAACTGTACAGCTTTGCAGAGCGATCACCAAGAGAGATCTGTTTGCTGACTTATGTGTTCTTAGTTCACGATGGTAAATTTTGCTTGACCAGCACGAACTTCGAGAACATTGTCTCAATGTCTCACCACAGACTTCAGTTTAATGATGAACACAAATACAGGATCTTGCGGTAAATTGTGGATGCAAAGGATTAGTGAAAAATCGCCACTACTTCTGGATGACATTTGTGGACTCCAACAATGAATGAGTTCATCCACATGATTGTCTGCTATTGAGAAGACATAGAAAAAGTATCTGTGAAGCTGTAATATTTCCAGATTTTTGGTGGAAATATAAAGTGTTTTTAGAGATGACTGGTTACGTATGAGAGTGACTATTATGCTTGTGGCTTGGCACTATGTCCAGTCCACTATAGAAACAGTAGTAAAGACTATTGATAAATTGTAGCCAAAACATGGTAAATCCCAATGAATTATTGTAGCTTCGTACGAAGTGATCAGTGAAGTGCGACTGGTTTCAGTGGGCGGCTAGGAGCGAAAGCTGCACAAGTCGAATAGTAACTAGAGATTTTTGCAACATCCCCAAATAAGTGAATAGAAAGCCTCAGCAGTAAGTGATCCCTGTCAGCTATTCATAATGAAACAGGCCATGAAGCTATGTTAAATGAAACAACCTATGAAAAGCATAAAACTGTGATGTTGAGATGGCTACAACGTTCGGGGGAGTATTTTGAGAAGAAGTCCTTCACCTAGAATATAACTCACTGGTGACTTTATTGATTTTAGTATTGTTCTGGAATAAAACTACCCTTTACCTTATTGTCATCGTTCGAGTTACAAATTCAAATCATCGCTAACTATTTGTGTCTGAAAATCTTCGGTGCTTTACTGTTTTCTGTTTCAGTCTATGGATTTCCTGAATTAATTGATCAGAGTTTGTTCATCGAATCGAAGTTCGCTAAATTATTCAAGCAATCAGGTCCACAATACATTAGCCCTTCATCTGTATACGTTAAACGATTGGAACGTTTTGGAGAATCGCTGAAGACAATACAAGAGTCAAAGAATTTAAGCAAAACTTCAAATATCACATTATGTTTAGGTCATTTATTGTATAAGTTGTATGTTTATTTTATTCCAAATTTTGCATCACCAACTGATAATAACGAGTATAATGTCACTACTTCAGGAGATCAAACTAATGAACACATTGATTTATGGGATTTTATACAAAACGAGATTAATAAACTTGATTATGATGGTATTATTGGATTGAATAACTGGATAGAGCAAAATATAATTGATCTCCATGGTAAGTGATTTTATTGTGTTTTGTTATATGTTTAAAAAAATTCATATAGGCTTTAAACATGAGCACAGTTTTGTCATTTTTGGCAATATAGCAAACTATTCTCAGTGTAGTTATACATAAGTCAATGGACAGTTTCTATAGTGAAAATAATTCCTTCTAAAGCATTCACTTTGTCGACTGTACTCTGATAAACATGTATTAGAGACTATTAACTTTTCCTGTGTACTCGCATCCAGCAGTACAAGCCAACAGAGTAGTAACACTACTTTCGAGATGGGACTAAAAAATCTACATCAGAGAAAAACTAGTTTGAAGCAGAAAAAGTACTATACATTCGTAAAATAAGGGTGTAGTTGTCATGGCGGAGAAAGACATACCCTATATGAGATTTCATCATGAGCTGACATTGGTTAGAGAACCATTGGAAAACCAGTTGTGAGTGCTGGACAGCTGTTTCGTCAGACTAGTCGGGGACTCTTCGCCAATACGCCCACCAGGCTTCAAACTCGATCGCTCTATGTCGTGATTTGGCAGAAAGTTAGAATTCATGGGCTACTGGATCGGTTCCCAGTGGCTTAATGGTCTACGAGCGTGCCTTCTAACCAGAAGGTCCTGGGTTCAAACCCTGGCGGGTGAGTACTGATGAAGAATCCCCAACTAGTCTGACGAAACAGCTGTCCAGTACTCCCAGATGGTTTTCCAATGGTTCTCTTACGAATGTCAGCTCATGATGAAATCCCGTAACCAATCAATCAAATCTCTACAAACCAGTACTTGAATACAGGTCCTATATTTTTCCTAATTGCAATGTCAGCATTTAAGCGGTAAGCTAGCATTAGTTCAGAGGCTAAAATAGGATTTTACCTCTATTTTTTATAGACGAAATAGTCAGAATCAGTGTGGTCTGATTTATCAAGTCGATTACTTTGGCTTTATAAAACTCATAGATCATTTGGAAAACTGTTGCTAAGTAACTTTGAAAAGACAACTTATGGTTCTGAAAAATAAGTCATTTAGCTGATCAGGTGTGGCCAACTATTTTGTGGGTTGGTGACTAAATAAAGCGGATTTGAAAGCGACGTTTGCTAGTTACTTATCGTGCGTTGGTGTCTCCGATGGCATAAGGCCCAGGCACTGTTACCCGGTCACAGTACCTAGGCTTTGTGTTGGTAGCTCCGCGATATAACCGTCACCTATCATGCACGTATGCTGGGACTCGGACCCCGACCAGCGCACACCTTTACCTTCCCTAGCCGATTGTCAGACTGACAAAGAGAGAAGGTTGAGCTTGAGGATAGCAACCCCACCCCTTAAAGAACACTGCTGCTACTAGAAATTCAGTGTTCAAACTTGAAGCACTATATTCTACTAGGAACTCGAAGGAATAAAATCATAAATAAATAATAACTGTGACAGAGTTTAATTCCATGGTAAAGTAGTTTTATTTGATACCACAATCAATAATACCACTTTTATTTTCCAATGTCACTGACTGCAACTTATTGCTCATAGCCATTTCAAGGTACTCTTACAACTTTTCCACTCTGCTTCAGTCTTTCCTACATTTCATATTTTTTGCTTTTACTGATAATGAATACATATTTCCGTTATCGGCATCGCATAGATCCTATTGCCTAAACGGATGACTGCGGTTGTAGAATCAAGCATTAACTCAAAAAGACCTGATAGCGGTAGGATAACTCTGCGGAGGGGCTATGAAATAATCACTATGTATTTGCAACACGTTTGACACATTGCCTGACCGCATTCAACATAGGACTGTGCACAGGAGTGCAGCAATTTGAGTTGCCACACCATGTAATACACAAAAGAAGACAACAATGAGGGGAAGGAGATTCAACAGAATGATACAATGCAGAAAGCATAGTAACATAGAGAAACAATAGGGTTTTATTGGATATGGCGGATCACAGAGAGTGACTGCATTAGCGCCACTGACAACGATTTTCCGCCGTTTCACAGATTGCTTCCAGCCATTGCTTCTTAGAGTCCCGAAGACCACAGCCAGTCAGTCTGCACCACTCTACGTGGCTCCAATTAATTGCTAGAGATTTGACGGACTCATGCCATTTTTTGGTTTGACCACCACTAGCTCTCTTCCAATCGAATCCTATGTCAGTTAACAATACATCTGGAGGAAGGCGATGGCTAATCATGCTTACCCCCGACCGATAGTTGCTACCTTGACGTGGTGGTCGGGCTTGCACATCGCGATGACCCAACAAGCTACACTGGCTGGAACTATTGTTCCTGCAGGTCCTACCATGCCAGGAAGGTTGTTAGGATAGCCATTAGACTAAAAGCAGTTACCGGAATTGTGTAAGAATCTCTCTTACACTATTCTGGGGGTCTAAGGGCGAAGTCATACTGCTGGGAAACAGGGGTGTAACAGCAGTGAGGTGTTTCCCTCAGATGACCAACATGCCAGATATGCTGTCTCCACTCGACCTCAAAAATTGTACATCCCGACTTACCCTACGGTGGTCCATATCCGGCGGTAAGTTTACTAATACGGAACCAATCCCAGAAACCAGTTCATACAGGCCGTGTGTGACCGGCCTCGAGCACTTGTCCCCTGGGCTCTGTGGTCACGCAATACTAACCCTCTTTTGTTTCAGGTACCCGAAGAATCAATCAACCTCCACGGTGTGGGCAGCCGGGAAGTAACAACCGCCCACACACTTTCAAAAGCACACGTAGCCTCCCCGTGTGTTTTCCTCCTACTGTTAATGCTATTCTGTAGGCTAGTAAATCATCTTCACTTCGCTCTGTGAACACAATGATGGTAGCCATAGTAACACTCCCGATATTCTCTCAAAGCCACGTCGCCAACTTCATATAAGAGCTTTCGTCGTCAGAACCCTCTGCCAAATTGGACAACAGGCATCACTGGCCAGCACTCTGGAATCTCGAGGCATGGGTGTATGTTGTGTTTCGGAGACACGCATACAAGACCCGAGTATAGTCATTCACTTAACCCCACCTGGCCAACAAGGTAAATCTGCGAAATCCACCTAAAGAGCGTCAGGAAACTCCTCATCTAGTTCGCGAGGACTCGCTGGTGTAGGGATAGCATTGAGTGTCAAGACAGGAAAATCACTTCTTGACCGGATCCCAGGGGATATTCGTATGTGTTCGGTCAGTCGGAATGGGTCCGTTAGAAGAAGGAAGGACGGCGTTACTCATCGTTATCTTTTCATAGTCAGCCCCAACAGACTGCAGTTCGGATGAACTAAAGGATAACTTCTGCCTGAAACTGTCTAATTTGCTGCAAAAAGTAAAACGTTAAGATATAGTTCTTTTAGTAGGCGATTTCAATGTCCAAGCAGGGAAGTTGTGCCAGACCGAGAAGTATGTAGGTGGTACGTATGGAGTTCCCTGCCGACGAACCGACAACGGTGATCGTCTTCTACAGTTTTGCTCAGATAATCATTTGTTCCTGGTCAGCACTGACTTTAGGACCAAAGAGAGACATTGCGTAACCTGAGGACCTCCATCACCAAATCAACGCTGGACTCAGATAGACCACATAGCTATAGGGTATCGTTGGCGAGGGTGAGTGGAAGACTGCCGGTCCTTCTGGAACACGTGCGTAGACTCCAATCACGCCCTGGTACGTGCACGTTTATGTTTACTAGTGAATGGACATAAGAACAGACGGCGATGGAGCTGTTAAGCAACCACCTTGATCGAGACTCTGAGTTCCTAATCTCGGAAGAAATGGCCAAACACGTATCTGAGATGGACACCAGGACTCCTCATGTGAAAGCCTGGCACAATATACAATTACCTGCAGATTCACCCGTATAGGCTGTTGTTGATAACCAAAAACCAAAGAGTTAGTAAACGTCAGTGGATTTCCACTACCTCATCCAAACTGATGAAAACAAAAAGACTGATTCTAGCCGTCTCTGAATATGATGAGGAGCGAAAGCTGCTCAAACGAAAACTAACAAAAAGTCTTTGCAACGACCGTGAACAGTGGTGGGTGACAAAAGCGAAAGAGACGGGAAAGGCATCGGAGATTGATAACACCAGACAACTATTTAGGCTTATCAGGGAAACAGGTGGGAAAAGGCAAATCATAAGTGAAAAAATCTCTGAGAATAATGGCACCATAATTAGCTCCCAGTTTAGACTGCATCGCTGGAAAGAGCACTATGAGAAGCAGTTTAATTGGTCCTCAGTCGCGCTCAACCTGCCGAACATCCAACACCTACCTGAATGGGATATAGACACAGGTCCTCCATCCCTAATTGAGGTTACTAAAGCTGTCACCAATCTGAAACTAGTCAAAGCAGCGGGACCTGATGGAATGACTCCAGAGGTATTTAAGTACGGTGAAGACAGTTTATTGTCTGCATTAACTGAGGTACTAGGCAGCGTCTGGGAATCAGAAGAAGTCCCGTCGGGTTGGTGCAAGTCACTGATTATCCCCATATACAAGAAGGGAGACAAGTCTTCCTGTGATAATCACAGAGGGATTAGCTTGACTAATATAGTATCTAAAGTCTTAAGCTCAATAATCATGCGTAGACTGAGTGGTGCTCGGGAAGCACAAACACGAGAGAGCCAGGCAGGCTTTAGACCAGGAAGAGGGTGTATTGATCATATCTTCACCCTCCGACAGATTCTAGAACATAGGCATTCCTACCGGCGTCCAACAGTCATTATATTTCTTGACCTAAAGGTGGCATTCGATTCTGTCGACCGAGAGGTACTCTGGCGATGCTTGGCCGTAAAGGGAATCCCGAGAAAATACATTGCACTGATTAAAGCACTCTACTAAAACTCAAGCGGCCATGTGAGGACTTATGGCGAACTGTCACATGAAGTGGTGACGACTAGTGGTGTCCATCAGGGATGCTCATTATCCCCATTTCTGTTCAATTGCATTATAGATGTACTAATGGACTTAACCCTAACTCACTTCAGCGACTCAGGGATTGACTTGCTACCAGGGAATAATCTCGTTGACTTAGAATATGCAGACGATATAGTCCTTCTAGGTGAGGACGCTGACAAAATTCAGAGTCTTCTGAACACCTTGAACTGCAATCTACGAATATTTGACACGCGATTCGCTCCCGCCAAATGTAAGATGATGTTACAGGACTGGACTACACTGCCTCCTAGTTTAGAAATAGCGGGTGAAGTGGTAGAGCACGTTGACCGCCTCACTTATTTGGGAAGTACCATCAGCCCCAACGGGTTGATCTCTGACGAAATCTCAGCACGGACACAGAGGGCTAGTTTCGCATATGCCAGTTTACGACATCTCTGGGTAGAATTTATTTTTAGATTTAGTGTAAATCTTAAAATTCACCAATTTGGACTAAAACTTATTTATCTAATTTCTCTGTTACTTCGAGCCCACTTTCTTCTTTAATATTTTATTCATAGAATGAATCATGATAAAGAACTACTATTTCTCATGTGGTTCAAATTGTAAGTTGCATCTTATCAGTTCCCTGCTGAGCAACACTGAAGCACGTAATAGGGAGATGTATGAAAAATCAGGTTGATTAATATCAGCTTATGCCTAACAGTTACCAAGGAAGTTGTACAAGATGTTAGAGATAGATTATGAAAATTATGTTCCAAGTAGACTAAATGCCAGGTTTGTCCATTGATCAGTTTGAAATGACTGGATTCGGATAATTCATCATGTGTCTACTACCCTGAATTAATGTCGCAATACCCTTCTCGTGAAACATGAGCTGTATATTTATAAACCTTGTAATACTTAATTTGTTAGGGTGCACCCTTGTTGGTCTTAGACACCGATTAATCTTATTTGTCCCTTTGTTTTTGTATCATTTGTCCTCATGCACTTTTCTTTTCTATGTACACTATTCCATTAAAACAAAATAGCCGGATTTTTGTACGCCTTGTCTGTGTTCAAGCGTTCTCAGTTCAATGAATGTAATTTGATCATTAATCAGTGTGAGTTATCGATTTGTTTTTTGTGTTTTGTTTTCATTAATTTCTCTGAGAATCTTTACCATTGAGATTATGTTTCAGTCACACAGATGTACATTGCATTCTGGATTGTTAACTGACGCAGTATTTTGTGCAATATAAAATGTTTACATTAGAAGAAAATGGTATATGAAGTCATCACGTGTTGTTATATTTCGCAGTGGAGTGTGACATAATTAGTAAGGGGAGTAAGTGAATTAGAAGTGCGCCAAATAATAAAGGATAGGCTATAAAAGGTGTACTCAAGTAGTATAGTGTAGCCAAAAGGACGAAGATAGTGTATGTTCAATTCTTATATCCTTTTTAAAAATTGCTTTGATAGTTCTTCATAAGTATCAGGTGAACCAAACCTAAAGTGGCTACGTTTTACCAACAATGAAATTATAACCTTCGTGGCATTGTCATATGTTTGATGACACTGCAGCTTCTACGATAGTTAAAATAACATCTCGAGAACACTTTAGCGAATTGGGACATACTGCTGATGGATGTTTATGTCTTGTAGAGCCGAGCTCATCATCCGTGTACTCGATTTGACTTAGCTCAAATCACCGAATCATTTCAAACCATCCAAATTCAGGCGACCTCGCAACGCGTAGCATCGAATCCATGACTTACAAATTATGCTTTCTTGACTGGCATTTATATTATTAACCAGATGTGGATATTTTGGATTCCGAGAGGATATTGTTAGATTTCCACCACCAACTGCGTAATTTAAAGAAGACAAATTTGATTCGGAAATGTTTTGTGTCTCACATATCTCAATATAGTGACATTAAATAGGTAATGGTTAGAAGTGAAGAAAGTCCTGGTGCATGTTTCACCCTGTTTGAGATTCATCAGTGGGTCGCATTTGCATTCTAGTATGTAATAGTGTACTCAGTAAAATTCAAATTCAGCACAGATCATTAGAAATTTTAGACCGTCACTCAATTGCCCTAGTCTGGTTCTAGGTAAAACGCAACTACCGTCCTGAATTCCACTGTTGATCACAACTTATTACAGTGTGAAATTCCAATTGAAGACATCACTGAGATATCCATACTAGCAGTTCATACACAGTTCGATCATTTCGACTCAGGCAAATAAATAAATGGAAATCATAAATTTTTACGAACATCTCACTCATCCTATTTGAGATCCATTAATCAACCAGATGACTATTGTGCTTCTGTCCATATCCGTTGCTATCCTTTGCATAAACCATACTTCCAGCTTTGTCCTAAAATGAAAGTGGTTAGGCTTGATAAGATGGAATACTTTTGGAATTCAAAAATCTTTTTTATTCATGTAAGGATTGAATCAATACTATTCAGTAATCTGATGAGAAATTTTTATGAAGTTCAAAAGGTGGGTAGAATTGTGTTAGTAGGGATTAATATGCAGACCAATCAACCTTCAAGAATAGTTAAATAAAAGTAAGATAAACGACTTTCATGTATTTGAGTCATTTTTTCGTGTAGGTGTTCAAGTTTTGTTCCGTTCCACGTGTTTCTGTTAGCAATATTTATCTATAATGGCCTCCTGCTAGGCTATTGTACTTCTTGTTATTTCAGTCGGCACAAGCTTTGACAATAGATTCACCTATTTACATGAGCTAAATAGTTTGGCATTCAAAAGAATAGTACAATCTTAACTCGTATATTTCATCTCTTTTAAAAAACATGTCACAGTCGGTTTACGCATGTTACAGATTATGATAACAATTCAGTTTTATTATCTGCATTTTGTCCCACTTCTTTTAACCATAACCGAGGTAGTTTGCAGGCTCTTAGTACTGTCGACGGTTATCACCGAGCAATCGATTCGTGTACCTTATCCAGGAGCTGAGTAACTCAGTGATAGAGGGTTTGGATGGATTACTGAGTGACGCATGTTTTAATCTCCGACATAACATACGTTTTCTCAAGATTTTAAATAAATCCTGCTGATGTGTACTAAAAAGCACAAAATTTCCCTCAAGTAGGTTTTCCACGGTATTGAATCGTTATATTTAGGTAAACATGCACTCGTGATATGCCGCTTATACACATTTCTAGTAATCTGTATTTAATAATCATATTTTCTTAAAATAATTTCATTTGACACGCTGTACAGTAAGTGATACGGTATTATTCATTTGTCTATGTATGAGTGAAGAATACTGTGTCATCGTAGTCTATATCAAATAAAATTATTCTAATCTAGAACTGCAGTGTCTAAATTCGATTCTTATATCATAGTTCATATTTCCATTCCCATCTGTGATTATTGTTTCATTCTACACAAAAATTTTTTTCCCTAGTAATATCTTATATTGATAAAAATTGTCGACAATACAATACAGAATCTACTGATTTCACTGGATCAGTTGATAAACTGAGCAAGAGTTCAACTAGCAATATCCCGTCTCAACGTCTCATGTGTACGCCACTTCGTTTAAACATAACCAAATTTTCAGAAAACGTACCAACAACATGTGATATATATGCATTTGTTAAGTATTGGCTAAGTACACTTTTGATTGCAAATACTTGTAATTCAGAAGTCGCAACTAATGATATTGATGAAGAAATTGGAACTCTTCTTCGACAGACTGAGAATGCCGACTACGTAAGCAAGTCAACAGATTCTACTTTTAATGTTTTATTACTTATTTGGTGCATACATGTAATCTTAAACACAAATTATGATCAAGAATTTCAAATACCTTGTTCACTTGACTGTCTATTGTCAAACATATTAACATGAATTTGTTTACACTTGCATGTGGCTTAATAATTCATCGTTTACCTTTAAAGTTGTCAGTATAAAAGTGATAAAATTTGGATCGTATGTTCTCTTTGGAATGTTTGTATGCCACTGTGTTTTTCATTATCCGCTTTCATTTGGAACATGTGAAGATTGTTTTTACGATCGTATGTTTTCTGTTCTCTGGGAAATATAGACCTCAAAATAATGAATAATATGGTATACTCAGTGATAAAATATTATCAAATCATTGGACTTGAATTTGGTTTCGTCTTCTTTTCTTTTCAGATTCCTTATGGTTGGAAAGATGTATTTCTTACTCTTTCTATGGAATACTATCTACTTGTGAATAATATAAAGGCATCATTTCATATCCTGGAAAAGTGGAAATCTCTTTATGGTTGTCAAAAGGAATCAAAAATTGATAATGCCCACTTATCTCCTCGGTTTCAAGTTTGTTTAGTGTTGTTAAAGTTGGTGTTTAATCTTAAGCCTGCTGAGTTAAAAATTATGGAGGGTAAGTTGTTTTCATATGAGTAATTGCGTTAATGGAAAACTAATGCATATTGCATTTTATAATCTGATGAGTTGCTCATATATGCTTTTAAATGTGAATAAATCCAAGGGAATTACCATTTGATTAGAAAGAAAATTTAGCTTGACGCCCTATTGTGTGAGTCATTGAGATCCAACCACAATTGTCTCATTGGCTTTTTGTAACTTTAAGTCTTATACTGAGAATGCTAATGTGACCCAGGTTGTCTTTCAAATTCAGTCGAATATATAGCTCAATTTCATGCAGCTTACCAGAAAGTTATTAATAATTTGGTTAAATACCTATTTATATCAAAGCAAGCAATGTATGTATTCGATGTTTAGTGTCAATAAGTTGTAATTAGTCTCGTATATGGCTGCAACTTGGTAATATAGCCATGGTTGTATTGAGAGTCCTCCATAGAGCAAATCATTACACTGTCAATTCGCTTCTCCCTTAGCTTCTTTTGACTTGTCACACAATGACAAATGACACAGAGCTACTACATCGGAGTTAGTAATTAGTGAATTACTAATGGATGTTATCACTTGATATTTCAGAGTTCTTCACCATAAGTTTGTCAATCTCTTATTTCGTATTCGTTTGAACCAAAAAAATAATTGTGATGCTACACTGTACGTTTTTTACCTGGTACCACTAGTACAAACAATCGTCCACTTAAATGTTCAGTGTATGTTAACTATCACTGTGGATTAAAATTGATTTTTTTTTCCTAGACAACAATTGTCAGTTTGATTTAAAACACAAAATAATCAACCGAAGGATATTCTTTTCGATAAATTCCTCTTCCGGCTCTACAATTATATATATATATATATATATATATATATATATATATATATATATATATTATATATATATATATATATATATATATATATGCTTATATACACAGAATATCCTAGATTAGTAGTTAATAACAATATTAGTGTTTTTTAAATAATATCGATTTGTAAAATATGATCAATGCAATTACAGTTCCTTAAAGATGCTTAAATTATAATATTAATAAAGATATAATAGCGAATAGAATATCAACTAAAATTAGGGAAATTCCACAAAAAATCAGGATAATTCAAACCTGGATAGCCAAGTTAATGATAATGACTGAACTAACTTCTTTTGGATGCATAAATTGGGCTTGTTAATGTGGATCCCCACAGCCTCAGCAATATTTTGTAGTCGAACTCTTAAGGCGAAATTGAGATTCGTAGGTGTAAACGCAATATCGCTTGAAATTAAGTCACGCGCAGATAAATGCTATCCCGGTCCAGGACAAACAAGAAGCCGGTCATTGTTTCTACGGTACTATTAATAAACAAATCAATAATTGTATATACAACAAACCTTAACGGTTTCAAGAGTACAAAGCACAACGCTTAACAGAAAGCAAGGTACCGCTATCAGAACGGAATAACGTTAAAGCCAAAGTTGAGAACCAGCCGGAATCAGACACGACCGTCCAGATAAGCAGTCAGTAGAGGAATGAACTCAAGTAAGACAGCGCATAGAACAGAGAGCGGTTAAGAGATAGACAGAGCATAGACACAAAGATACAATTTAATTGGCTACTTGACCAGGTAGTAAGACACAGATCAAGATCAATAAATAAGGTAAACTCGACAGAATAGTACAAAGTAAGACATGGGTCAGTAAAAATAACAGTTCACAAAATACTCTGATTGGGTCATGAGTTCAACGGTCTGACTAAACTGATCGATGTAAAAACACACAAACAGTTCATTAAACATGGAGGGATAGACACGTTAGGCACGGATAATTGGGTTGCAACAACGCTAGGTTGATCCGGGACAGGTTGACTTGATTCAGGGATGGGAATTGAATTGATCTTACAATAGGTATGCCGTAAATGACCCTGAAAGCATGGTTAACGTCAATATTGCGTTCTGTCTCCACAAGATGAGATAAAATAGCGCTGAGAATAGATTTTGTTTGTCCATCGCTTAACCACGCAGGATGATGTTCGGAAATTCGACGAGAAACACGCCTAATTGTACGGCCTATGTAACTGGCTCCACATCACCCTGCGTGGCTGAGCAAAGGACAAACAAAATCAATCCGCGGCGCTATTCTATCTCATCTTGTGGAGACAGAACACAAGATTGACGTTAACCATGCTTTCAGGGTCATTTACGGCATACCTATGAATCTCAATTTCGCCTTAAGAGTTCGACTACAAAATATTGCTGAGGCTGTGGGGATCCACATTAACAAGCCCAATTTATGCATCCAAAAGAAGTTAGTTCAGTCATTATCATTAACTTGGCTATCCAGGTTTGAATTATCCTGATTTTTTGTGGAATTTCCCTAATTTTAGTTGATATTCTATTCGCTATTATATCTTTATTAATATTATAATTTAAGCATCTTTAAGGAACTGTAATTGCATCGATCATATTTTACAAATCGATATTATTTAAAAAACACTAATATTGTTATTAACTACTAATCTAGGATATTCTGTGTATATAAGCATATATATATATATATATATATATTGTAGAGCTGGAAGAGGAATTTATCGAAAAGAATATCCTTCGGTTGATTATTTTGTGTTTTAATAGATATCTGAATGAATTTGGTTAAATTTTGACTCCATGTATTTCAGATGGAATTCGACACGTTATAGTATTATTTGTTGACGTGTATTTACTGAACTTCGAAATTCCTCATTGTTCCTTTGAGGTTGGATTAAGAGTAGGCTTTATTAGTTTTGATTATTTGCTTTCAGTGTATAATGCATAACTTTCATTCCTAATTTTTTACTCTTCATTCAGAGATAACACCACTCTCTGCCAAAGAGGATTTATTGAATTTACTCAAAAAAAGTGATGCAATTAGTTCCAGTCGTTTTCAGTATTTATTGGGATATGTTATGAAAATCTGTGTACAGTCATTCAAAGACTGTTCTTCTACAATGGGCTTAGAACAGCAACTAGAGAAATTCTCACTTGGTATTCAGTTTGATATGCGTTATTATGCTAATTACTTGCAGATTGGCCACATTTATCGTGAAAAGGAAAATTCGAAGTAAGATTGCTACTTTTCCTTCTAGATTAATTTTTCAGTGAATCACTTTTTCACTAAACCAGTGTTATAAGTATTTTACAGTTTATAGCATTCTATGCTTTAACAAACGTTTGAGAAATAACTCTGTTCTACCTAACATTTCTGGCTGAAATTACGTACTAAGTTCGTAAACTATTGGGCGAGTAAATTACAGTTCCTTAGTCAGGATGTCTACTACTCTTAATTAAACCTACTCAGTATGTTGTATTTGTAAGTGATTGCTTTCATAACTGGTGAACAATCTTTTGAAGATTCACAGACTGGCTTTAACGTAGAACTTTGCACAGATGTGCAACAGTTCGAGTTGACACACTCCATATAGCACACAATCCAAGAGAAAAGACTAAAGAAAGACTCAAAAGAGAGATAATAAACAGAAATATGAGGCAAAAAAATAGTAATATGAAAGGACAGTGGAATTTTATCGGATATTGAAAATCACAAAGAATGAAAGCATCTTCACAATTGAGAACGATTTTGAGCCAATTCGCCAATTGTCTCCAGTCATTGGTTTCTACCATCCTGAAGACCCCAACCAGAAAGTCTACACCTCCCTGCATGACTTAAACTAACTGTTGTGGATTTCATTGACTGATGAAGCCATGTTTTGGTTGGACCACCACTAGCTCTTTTCCAATCTAATCCTATATCAGTTAACATTGAGCGTGAACGAAGGCGATGGCCAAGCATGCTTACCACATGTCCTAACCATCTCAGTCTATGTAGCTCCACAGCCTCGTCGATTGATTTCTCCTACTTACCTAGCACTCGACGCCTAACCTCAATATTGCTCACCCTATTATACCACTTCACATGGGAGACAGAACGCAGGCACCTATGATCAAAGATAGTCAGCCTTTTGGTATCTTGTACTTTCAATGGCCATGTCTCAGTCATATAGGAGGAGGGAGCGAACTGCTGAGCAGTACACATGCTTCTCAGTCGATAGCCGGATATCGTGTCTACCCAGAGATGTCGTAAACTGGCATATGCGAAACGAGCCTTCTGTATCCGTACTGAGATTTCGTCAGCGATCAACCCGTTGGGATTTATGCATCTTCCAAAACAAGTGAAGCGGTCAACGCGCTTTACCACTTCACTTCGTATTAAAGTAAAAAGAAACGCAAAATAGAGACAGTTAACAGAGATATGAGGCGAAAAGAATAGTAACAGGAGCGAATCGCATGCCAAACATTCGAAGATTGCTACTCAATGTGTTCAAAGGACTCTGAATGTTGTCGGCGTCTTCACCTAGGAGGACAATATCATCTGCATATTCTAAGTCAACAAGATTATTCCCTGGTAACAAGTCAATCCCTGAGTAGCTGAAGTCAGTTAGGGTTAAGGCCACTAGTACACCTATGAAGAAGTTAAACAGTATTAAATGGGGGCATACCTGACGGATACCACTGGTTGTTGTCACTTGAGATGACAACTGTCTGTAGGTTGTCACCTTGCTAACCGCATGAGTTCAAGTGGAGTGCCTTGATCAGTTCGATGTATTTTCTCGTCATTCTCTTCACAGCCAAACATTACCACAGTACTTATGAGTCGACAGAATCCAGTGCCGCCTTGAGGTCAAGAAATATAGCAATTGCTAGATGCCAGTAAGTATGCGTTTGCTCCAGAATCGGTCGAAGGGTGAATATATGATGGATGCACCCGTTTGCCTACTGATACCTCTTTTCCTGATAAGCCTAAATAGTTGTCTGGTGTTACCTGTCGCCTATGCCTCTTCCATCTTTTCCGCTTTTTTCGCCCACCACTGTTCACGGTCGTTGCAAAGACTTTTTGTTAGTTTTCGTTTGAGCAGCTTTCGCTCCTCATCATATTCAGAGACGGCTAGAATCAGTCTTTTTGTTTTCATCAGTTTGGATGAGGTAGTGGAAATCCACTGACGTTTACTAACTCTTTGGTTTTTGGTTATCAACAACAGCCTATACGGGTGAATCTGCAGGTAATTGTATATTGTGCCAGGCTTTCACAGAGGAGTCCTGGTGTCCATCTCAGATACGTTTTGGCTATTTCTTCCGAGATTAGGAACTCAGAGTCTCGATCAAGGTGGTTGCTTAACAGCTCCATCGCCGTCTGTTCTTATGTCCATTCACTAGTAAACATAAACGTGCACGTACCAGGGCGTGATTGGAGTCTACGCACGTGTTCCAGAAGGACCGGCAGTCTTCCACTCACCCTCGCCAACGATACCCTATAGCTATGTGGTCTATCTGAGTCCAGCGTTGATTTGGTGATGGAGGTCCTCAGGTTACGCAATGTCTCTCTTTGGTCCTAAAGTCAGTGCTGACTAGGAACAAATGATTATCTGAGCAAAACTGTAGAAGACGATCACCGTTGTCGGTTCGTCGGCAGGGAACTCCATACGTACCACCTACATACTTCTCGGTCTGGCACAACTTCCCTGCTTGGACATTGGAATCGCCTACTAAAAGAACTATATCTTAACGTTTTACTTTTTGCAGCAAATTAGACAGTTTCAGGCAGAAGTTATCCTTTAGTTCATCCGAACTGCAGCCTGTTGGGGCTGACTATGAAAAGATAACGATGAGTAACGCCGTCCTTCCTTCTTCTAACGGACCCATTCCGACTGACCGAACACATACGAATATCCCCTGGGATCCGGTCAAGAAGTGATTTTCCTGTCTTGACACTCAATGCTATCCCTACACCAGCGAGTCCTCGCGAACTAGATGAGGAGTTTCCTGACGCTCTTTAGGTGGATTTCGCAGATTTACCTTGTTGGCCAGGTGGGGTTAAGTGAATGACTATACTCGGGTCTTGTATGCGTGTCTCCGAAACACAACATACACCCATGCCTCGAGATTCCAGAGTGCTGGCCAGTGATGCCTGTTGTCCAATTTGGCAGAGGGTTCTGATGACGAAAGCTCTCATATGAAGTTGGCGACGTGGCTTTGAGAGAATATCGGGAGTGTTACTATGGCTACCATCATTGTGTTCACAGAGCGAAGTGAAGATGATTTACTAGCCTACAGAATAGCATTAACAGTAGGAATCATCCTGGCTTGGTAGGAACTCCAGTAATATTAGTTTGAGCCAATGTATCTTTCGGGTCATTGCGACGTACAATCCCGATCTTCACGTCAAGGTAGCAGCTATCCATAGGTAATATCTTGATGAGATTTGTAGTCAACGTGCACGGCATCATTTTTTGTGATGGGTATGAATAAAGTTCAATTTCCTATTTGTCAGTGCAAGTCTTTACAGTGTGTTGGTGAGTTTACTAATAACCCTATTAGGTCATTCAATGTGATCGCAGGGTTTAGTTGCTATGTCCTACACAATCAAAGTTCACAGAAAATCCCGGTTAGACCCTCTTACTATACTGGAATCGAATTGGATGATTTTATTATTATTCGTTCAGACTAGGTGCTCAAACCATGGAAAAGTTAATAGTAACCTTTATGGATTATATCGTTATCTGTTATTAAATTAAGCAGGTGAATATAGTACGTCACTTCGCGCTTATCAGTTATGAAATACACAATATACCAGTACAATTATAAAAGTAATCAGAGCCATTCACAGGTTTTTTCCTCACAGTGCGTTAGAGAATATGGTATTAGGGTTAACTAATTGTCAATAAATTTAATATCAACCATGGCATTGATCAAAAATTTTCGAACTAGACTAATTTAGTCTAGAGGATTTTTCTTCCAATCCATCAGAACACTATAACGTATTTCTGCTAATATCTGATTGTCGTTTAGGTTTGTACTGATTTCACCTTTCTTTCAGTAATGATAAAATTCTCTTTTGATCATCACAGAATTCAGCTCCTTCAGTGTCGCATCTAAGGTTCTACGACACATAATGGTACAATTTCCAACCAAAGTTGGGAACAGCAAATTGTACAGAAATCACACAGCCTTGCGAAATATGAATGTGAAAAAATCAACTAAATCCGTACCTTCCCTTAAATGTTGAAAAATTCATTAAAGCGTGGTACAGGTTCCTACTAAAAACATAATTTTCCTCTTCTGGACTACTTCAAGTTAAGTGGATTAGTGTATTGATCTGTTTGACTTATCCAGGTAGGTATGTGAATCGTAATGACTTAGTGGTCAATGAAGCACAACTCAAGCATAAATACGTTTGTTTATTTTTCATCAACTTATGGAACTATCACTGTCATTGCGTAATGTATTGGCCGATGTTTGGTAGAAAAGTCTATTAGATAGTTTAACTGGTTGTTTTAAGGCATCAAAGCTGGTGTTAATCAACCTCATTAATTTGGAAAATTTACTACGTATTTGTATGCATTCGGCGACTTATATCAATGTACTTACGTTGTTTCTGCTGAATATGAGAGATAAAACGGAGGTTATTGTTTTCATAATCATTAAATCTCTTTTGTCCCGTCATATGGTTTTATTTTATTTCTACCTTTAAGGGAATCACTAACCGCATATACTGAGGCTTATCGTTTAATGCCTTCTTTGCCAACTTGTGTATATTATTATGCAGTGGGATTATGTAGACAAGAGGAATGGGTAAATTTTACTATTGCTAATAACATATTATATTTTAATGTTATCTCGTGCATGTTTGTTTTTGTGAATATAATATGCTGATTAAAGATGCCCATTCGAAATTTCAGAAGATTGATTATTGAACAAAGAATATTCTATTTGAACAAAGCAAGAACTACAGTTTTAGCAGAATAAAATGGTACCATCTTTTATTTCGTTGCCTTCTCGTCAGCTGCTTACATGGCAAAGACATTATTAAATATATCTACAACAACAATTTTAACATACTTGCACAGAGTTCAGTTTAAACAAAAATCAATCGATCAATATACTCATACACTAAAAATATATACATATATAAATATGCAATATTAACCACTATTCCGAACAATAATAATCAAACACAATGGAAACTTTTAGCATTTCACATTCGGAGGAAAGAGAGGTGAAATTATCCAGTTACCAGGGCAAAGAAAGGCTGATAACCGCTTCTTTCTGGACGCATAAATCAGGTTTCAGGCGCTTGATGGAAATGGCTTCAGCAAACTTAAGGAGAATTGAGCTATTTTGCTTATTGATAATTTTGAACGACTTTTCAACGTCCACCTCATGACCCGTGTCGAGAAGATGCCTGGTGATGGCACTGTTTAAAGCATTTGTTCCCTTTAGACGTAAGCTTTTTGGTACATGTTCAGAAAATCGTAGATATGCCCTTCTTTCTGTCCTTCCAATGTAACTGCTCCCGCAGATACATGTAAATTTGTATACACAGTTGGAGGTAACATGAGAAGGATATCTATCGATTTTTGATTGCACCAAAGAGCAAGTTGTTCGATAGACGGGAACGAGCTTAGCTGCAGGATACGCTATGGCTAGTGATGTACTCAGCCTTCTGTTGATCATCGCTGCAATATTTTCACCTTTATAATCAAGCTGAAGGTAGACTGGCTTTTTTTCCACTGTGATTTGTTTTACTTTTGTGACTTCAGATCTTCCATACTTGTTGATGAACCTTTGAGGATACCCATTTCTCTTCAATATATTTTCAAGGAACTCAAACTCCTCCTCTAGTTTCTCTGTAGAGCATATTCTCCTCGCTCTATAGTACAAAGTTTTGACTAGACCACGTTTAAAGCTATGTGGACAAAAGCTATTAAAATGCAAGTATTGTCCTTTCCATGTGGGCTTTCGATAAATTGACTTTTGAAGACTACCGTCTTCTAGGCGTTCCATGGCTATGTCGAGGAAGTGAAACTTTCCGTCACTTTCGTGTTCCATAGTGAAGTCAATATTGGCGTGTGCACCATTGAATAATCTTAGTAAGTGTGAAGCATGACTTTTATTTTTGCACACTATAAATGTGTCATCAACATAACGACAGTAGGAAGATGTTTCGTCGATTGCATGCTTCAGCTTTGTTCTTTCAAGGTTAGACATGAATATATCTGCTAAAACAGGGCTAAGTGGACTGCCCATAGCTACACCATCTATTTGGCGGTAAAACGTGTTGTCAAATAGGAATTGCACATCCATGGTGCACATAAGCAGTAGGCGTTTGAATTCAGACTCTGGGAGTGGGAGAAGATCGGACTGCTGACAGATGATTTCAATGGTTTCATTGACTGGAATCATTGTGAATAGGGAGGTTACATCAAATGACACCATGAAGTTATTTAGAACGTTCATGTGATTCACACTTTCAGAGAAATGAAATGAGTCTTTCACCGTGTGCACGCCTAGCCGTTGACGAATAGGTTCCAACTTCTCCGCAAGCCAACGTGCCACCTTATGTTGGGGCGAGTTGATCATCGAAAGTATGGGTCTCAGGGGGACTTGTTCTTTGTGTATCTTCGGAAGGCCATACATGTGTGGCAAGCGGGACCCTCGAGGTTTCAAATCATTGTACGTGTTGTTGTCAATCAATTTCTTCTTTAGAAGATCTCTCAAGGCGTTTGTGATACGTTTTTCGACTGCATCTGTCTTATCTTTCTGGCAACTGTCAACTTTAAATCTCAACGGGTCATTTAGCACAGCTTTCATCTTTGCGATGTAGTCCTCTTTGTCCATCAGCACCACACCTGAGCCCTTGTCAGGTCTCAATATAACAATTTTGTCATTATTCTTGAGAGCTTTCAATGCTCTTAGATGCTCTTCAGAAAAGACTTTGGAATATGACATTGGAGAAATGAGGTATTGATTTGCAACGTCGACGAGCTTCGATTTGAACCAGCTCCTCTTGTCATCATCAACTGGAGTGAGGTCACTCAACTGATAGAATAAGTTTTCGAATTGAACTGCGACATCAGTTCTTTCGACAAACTTATTTGGGATGTGAAAGTTAAATCCAAGAGAAAGTGCTTCCATTTCAATGCGATTTAACTTCAGACTCGACAGATTACAGATAAACTCCTCAGGATTTTCTGGGAAAACGTCACACAATTTCTCCTTTGTCAGGGATTTCGAAAGAGTTTTGTAAAAATTTTCACATGTTTTCTGTTGAAGTCCTTGGATGAAATTGATGAATTTGATCCGACATACTATACTCAAACTATTGACGACGCCATCGAAAGAACGGGCTTCAGTTCTCAATTTAGAAATCAGAGATTCTGTTGATTCAATATGTGATTTTGTAATGCGCCGGAGGTTCTTGAGAGATGGGGGTAATTTGCAAGAACGTAGTGACTTGATGAGATGACGAGGAAAGCAGTGTGACCGCAAGCAGTCATGGTAAAACTTCAAACGAGTCACCTCTCTTGATATTCTGCACCGAATTGTCACCATGTATCTGCGGGAGCAGTTACATTGGAAGGACAGAAAGAAGGGCATATCTACGATTTTCTGAACATGTACCAAAAAGCTTACGTCTAAAGGGAACAAATGCTTTAAACAGTGCCATCACCAGGCATCTTCTCGACATGGGTCATGAGGTGGACGTTGAAAAGTCGTTCAAAATTATCAATAAGCAAAATAGCTCAATTCTCCTTAAGTTTGCTGAAGCCATTTCCATCAAGCGCATGAAACCTGATTTATGCGTCCAGAAAGAAGCGGTTATCAGCCTTTCTTTGCCCTGGTAACTGGATAATTTCACCTCTCTTTCATCCGAATGTGAAATGCTAAAAGTTTCCATTGTGTTTGATTATTATTGTTCGGAATAGCGGTTAATATTGCATATTTATATATGTATATATTTTTAGTGTATGAGTATATTGATCGATTGATTTTTGTTTAAACTTAACTCTGTGCAAGATGCTCACTAGCGACTGGCCCTATTCAGGTAGGTAGTTACCTGGGTTCCAGTGGGAAGTCGTGACCAGTAGGGTGCAGCTGGTCGGGTGTGAGGACAAATACTCGCCGAAGACATTGGCTAGCGGTCGCACTATGTCGTGAATTGGCAGAAGTTAGAATTCAAGGACCATTGGATCGGGTCCCAGTGGCTTAATGGTATACAAGCTCGCCTTGTAACCGGAAGGTCCTGGGTTCGAATCTCGGTGGGTGCGTACTGCTGAAGAGTCCCAAACTAGGACGAAACAGCTGTCCAGTACTCCCAGGTTTTCCAATGGTTCTCTGACTAATGTCAGCTCATGATGAAATCCTGAAACCAATCAAATCCCTACAAACCAACACTTGAATATGTTAAAATTGTTGTTGTAGATATATTTAATAATGTCTTTGCCATGTAAGCAGCTGACGAGAAGGCAACGAAATAAAAGATGGTACCATTTTATTCTGCTAAAACTGTAGTTCTTGCTTTGTTCAAATTCAATAAGGGGAATAAATGTATGAAAGAATATTCTTTTCGATATCTTCATCATCAGGTTCTACAGTTACATATCCACTATAATAGAATGTTAATTTCAACATTGGTGGTTTTTTAAGAAGAGTAACATCGAATCATTTAGATCAGAATTCCGAAAGCTATTTGCAACTAGGTTGTTATTGGTTTATAGTCCAAAATGTATGTATGTGGTAGTATGTAAAATTGTAATAAATTGAACACTAATATTGCAAAGTAAAGTGATTATGAATGACAACGAAGGTATAGTAATAAATTCTCATAAGTCATGTTCATATTAATTTCCATTCATATTGATTATAAACTTCAGGTGGATAAATGATCATGTCAAGGACAGGGGTAGAGAAAAAAGATTTTTGGGGTGGAATTTTATGTGCGTTGTATGTTCGTCAGTGTGAAAGTTAACGACTACGTTTAAATAAGAAAACTAAAGGTTAGTTAGTGCAAGTGTATGACAGGGGGATTTGTGTATACAAGTTGGAGGGCCATTTCAAAAAGGCCGATGTAATAATTTATGATATTGCAAACTTCACAGCACGCCAGGGCACTATTAGTGGTTGGACCTGTTTCTTCTACACACAGAGCACCGGTTGTCTCAGGTGGATCGCGATAGCCTCTGCTGTTCGGAGTATGTGGTACCTGGATGTTTTTGACAGTTGTTTAGTACCCGATAGACGTTGCAGAAGGGCTCTTCAATATTAGCTTTGTAACCACTTTGGACTAGGTGTTGTAATATCGAGCTGTTGATGCTTCTCACTATACCTTTACTTAATCAGACTGGCAGGTGTTACCAAGAACGAAAAATCAAGTTCCTAGAGCAATGGCCAATATAACTCGCTCCACAAGCGCAGTTGAATTGGTAGATACAACTGGAAGTGGCTGGTCTATGTATCTCATCTTTCAGTTGAGTAATCACCATCGGTCGTGTAGAAAATAAGACTTGTCGTTTGCCGGCATTACAAGTTCTTTGAACTGATTTTCTTTACTTCTTCGTGATTATTTTGCTAGGTATATCGCCTTTAAATTTCAGTCGTATGTATAAAGGCTTCTTGTTTACGGATAGTGAGTAGTCCTTTTCAACTTTCTTAGTCGTATATTTCTTGATGAATTTGTCTGGATAGCTATTTTCGATCAAGGTATCATATACAATCCTTAGTTCATCTTCAATTACGTCTTCTGAACATATAGCTTACACCATTTAGCTGAGGATCCTTACTAAATTTCTTTTGTATTTGAGAGGAAAGAAGCTATGAAAATGCGTATATTGTCCTGTCCATATGCTTTTCTTATGTAGATTTCTCCTTATACTACCATCTGGCTTTTTCTTGTAAGGAAGACATCTACGAAGGCAATTCTATTTGGAGATTTCTTTCCGCACGTGAACTTCATAGTGGAATATGCTGCATTGAATTGAGTTATTATTCTGTTCCTTTTCGAATCAGTATCACAAAGAATAAAGGTGTCATCCATATACCGGCAATAAAATGAGAATTTTCTGATCAGGTTGTTCATAGGACCATTCTCTAGTTTGCTTAGAAAGAAATCTACCAAAGTGAGACTCAATGGATAGCCCATTGCCACCCCGTCCATTTGTCTGTAATGTATGCCATCAATTTTAAAATTTACATCCATGGTGCACTTTAATAAGAATTCTTTTAGAATTTCTGGCGAGACACCAATATTTATCCACTTACTGTACACTTGTTCGTATATTTAGTTAACAGTTTCAACTAGAGGTGGATTTGTGATTAAAGATATTATGTCTAAAGATATGATATTTTATGCTCAAGATTAATATCTTTGACGCTATGTTTCAATTTCTACTCATGCAGAGGTTTGAGAATATTTACTAACCATCTATTTAGACCATGGTTAGGCGAATTTCGCATATCAAGTATTGGTTTTAACGGTACCCCAGTTTATGTACTTTAAGTACGCCATATAATTTTGGCATGTACGTACCCGTTGGCCTGATTTCTTCATATAAACTTCCAGGAAATATCTGTTTCTCCCTTAGTTTCTTCAAGTGTCTGCTATGAAGTTCACGTGTGAGGAAGAATCTCCAAATAGAATTGCCTTCGTAGATGGCCTCCTTACAAGAAAAATCCAGATGGTAGTATGAGAAATTTGTGTAGTAAAAGCACATGGGCAGGACAATATACACAACTCTCAGGTGAGAGACTTCACCGCAATTTTTCAAGAGTTGGTTTGTAAGGATTAGATTTGTTTTTTTACGAGTATGACCATGGATTGATATTAGTTACCGGAAAATCGGTAACCGGAATTCACTGAATTTCCATCGTATACTAGTATTGATTCAAAAGTATCAGTGCTGAAATGCTTGTGACTCCCGAATACATTCAACATCCAGCAATTAGACATCAATTCGGTGTCGCCCTTGATTTAATATTAACATTCAGAAGGAGGAAAGACAGGTAAGGAATATTTTAGGACCGTTGTTCTCACTGTTTATCAGTGGACTTTGTTACCATCCTAAATGTGTTATGTGTGTACTGCAAGTCAACTTTGCAATTAGTATTCAATGAGTTGATAAATTCATACGAAGTTATATAGGCAAACTCATATATAGAAACCCGCCTATTATTTTGTTTCTGTCACTAATGATTCAATTATTATTTTATTTTGTTCTTTTGTATACGCAGGAAAAGGCGTTAGATGTCTATTCTTCTATAGACAAGAGGTAAGTGAAAGTAATAGTATGCACCGAGTCACAGTTTATCGGTTAGTAAAACACCAGTATAGACAGAATTTACACAAAAGGTTAGAGGAATTATTATGTAACTGCGTTAACCTGTACTGGGCTAGATGTTTCTCGTAACCGAATTCGTAAAGGCGAACTTTGATTTATTCAGTCTTATGGTGTTTTTATCCATACATATCGTCCTAAAGGTAATACTTATAGCTAAATAACCGTGCAAAAATTCGTGAAGTGTACTCTGCATTACTCTGCTGTTTGAGGATTGGTGATATGAAATAGTATCTTAAACCTCGATAGGTGGGGGAAGATTTCAAATTGATGATGATTAATGAAATTAGAGTGAAGTGTAAACCTTTGGATGGGATTGTTTAGTGTATCTACAGACATTAGCTTGACAACATGTAGGAAGTAGGTAATTCATCCGTAGGCGTTTGTAGAACAACTTCTGTCTCCATGTGATACTGTTGGTATCAGTTAAACAGCGGTGAATTATTTCCAACTTTTATCGCTTCAAAATACACTTCAAGTAGTCTAAAAATTAATGACTGGTCATATTGTGGTGAGAGCTGCTGTTAGCCAAAATTGGTAGACAGCAATTTACGTCACTGTTTACTTCCAAAAACTTGGTCATGAGAAAAAACAAGAATAAAGACTAACTCAGCAACCACTCACAGTAGACTTAGCGTAGGCGGGTACGATTAGCAGATATATCAACGGATTGTCTGAGAAACGGCAATAAAGAGATGACAGAATAACCTTCAACAAGAGGAACCAATCAGGAGATCTCTGCGTCGGTGGCACAGTGGTTAGGACTCTCGCCTACCATGCACATGGTCTGAGGTTCGATCCCCTGCCGACAAACACCTGATATCTATGGTCGGCCTGCAAAATTTGGGCTACTGATATCAATGCTGAAAATTCCATACTTGTATCAAAAATACTGTGGAATCAAGCTGTAATCAAAAATAAAATAATGAATAATAATGTACATACAAATCTATAAATATCTATCGATTTTCCCAATAAACAATCTGTTGCCTGGCCCTTGTCTTCTGTCGTTACAATATGTTGTTTTTGTAACTATTTGCAGCTTAACTTCTTTCTTCCAAAGATTTTCCGTATAATTTTATTCTTTTGTTTGCAGTGAATTCACCAAAGATATGTGGCTTAATTATGGTTTGATTGGTTTACGTTTGGGTCGAATATACGAATGTTTACCTGCTTTACAACGGGTTGTTCTGCTTAAAAATGAGGCGTAAGTACTATTTATACACTACACATTCCTGTGTACTTGTTTATATAATGTACAACTTTAAGGTATATAAATGAACGACCTATGTTTCCATGTTAGGTGAAATGATCCTAATCGATTTATTCATCGAAATTCTTCCACCATTAATTATAAAGGTGTTCAGATATTATTTGATTGTACACTGATTTGTCACTTCGTTCTCACACATTCTGAGTGCTTTCCGAAGTGATATAAAATTCCAGCTTACTATATTTGATGTTAGATGTATTCAGGAGTGAAAACTAACCATGTTTTGACGACATTAAAGTGTATTGTGTTTTCAGTGTAAGTGCATCTTTTTTTATTTGTACGCAAGTGCATAATATTCACTGTCAGGAAACATTTTTCGCTAAAAAATCATGCCACCTAATCGATTGTGCCACCTGTTTTCACAACGAAGTATTGCGAATTCCGATTTTCATTCTTTAATGTAGACATTTAAATATTATCACTAGCATGTTTACTTGTTTGTATTTTCACTCGTGTATATTGATCAAGTTATCATAACTCTTTTTAGTGAATACTGGGTCTGATATACTGGGACAAGTGTTTCCAATCATTTAGGTGTGTCATATGCCTTTCATGTCGTGTCTACATAAGAGGTTAGACTCTAAACTATGCACTGCATCGTACAGTTTGCCGTATTAAGTTTCACAGGGGATTCTTGTCAGTACGGATCAAGGTTTCGAGATGGCTATTGTTGACTAAAAAAGGCTTAGAAATTAAGCATTTTGTCTGTTGTTTTATGCATTATGGATTGAACTTGCTTTAGTCATGTGATACTAAACATTTACACTTGCCGTTACAGAAAATAAAATAAATGTGTTATAGTGCTGTATTGTTTTATTTTATGGTTCCGGAAGTGCTTTCATTATTTATACACTGTCTAGTCATGATGTTTCTGTGACCATGATTATGGGCTGGAATTTCTGTGTGGACATTATTATTGTATGTGTGAAATTATAGCGTATTCAGTCCGAGTGTTACCTTGGTTGACTTTCACTATGGAAGAAAAATGATCATGTTTAGTCTTTGTAAGTCAGTCAACAAAAGGGCCAATCCTATCTTTCATGCTTTTTGGCACACATCAACTTGATCACCGTGGTACTCTACTGATAATTCATGTTTCTTCCAAGAACTAACTATTTACTGCCTATGTCATGCAAGATGCGAGTTTGTATCTGGTAAAGAAGATGGAGATACTCTCTACTAATGAGTATTGATAGAGACGAATTCTTAGTTGATTGTTTTATTTTGGATGACTCTGAACTTTTGTTAATAAACTGCATTTTAGTGCAAAGAAGTGCATTGTTTTGTCGTATTACTTAGCTTAATGAGAATATTTAACGATTAGTCGACAGGTCTCAGGCAACCCTTGAGACTATAAAGGTACGTTAGTTTACAACCAAGCAATTAGCTTACACAAAAAGATCAGTTGCATACTTAGCAATGAATCGATGTGTATAATTCTGTGAAACTGTATATTTTTGGTGATAAATCTTTGCCTTGAGACTGTAGGATGCGTTCTCTGTTCCAGTTACGAGATGGAGAATAAATTCATCATACTATGACTTCACTTACTAGAACTTATTGTTTGTTATTCATTGTTATTGTTTTACATCTGTTGTTTTCAAATGATTCCTTACCAATAGCTGTTACCTTGACGGTGTGGTCAAGCGTGCATATCGCGATGACCCAACAAGCTACACTGGCTGGAACTATTGTTCCTGCAGGTCCTACCATGCCAGGAAGGTTGTTAGGATAGCCATTAGACTAAAAGCAGTTACCGGAATTGTGTAAGAATCTCTCTTACACTATTCTGGGGGGTCTAAGGGCGAAGTCATACTGCTGGGAAACAGGGGTGTAACAGCAGTGAGGTGTTTCCCTCAGATGACCAACATGCCAGATATGCTGTCTCCACTCGACCTCAAAAATTGTACATCCCGACTTACCCTACGGTGGTAAGTATCTGGCGGTAAGTTTACTAATACGGAACCAATCCCAGAAACCAGTTCATACAGGCCGTGTGTGACCGGCCTCGAGCACTTGTCCCCTGGGCTCTGTGGTCACGCAATACTAACCCTCTTTCTGTTTCAGGTACCCGAAGAATCAATCAACCTCCACGGTGTGGGCAGCCGGGAAGTAACAACCGCCCACACACTTTCAAAAGCACACGTAGCCTCCCCGTGTGTTTTCCTCCTACTGTTAATGCTATTCTGTAGGCTAGTAAATCATCTTCACTTCGCTCTGTGAACACAATGATGGTAGCCATAGTAACACTCCCGATATTCTCTCAAAGCCACGTCGCCAACTTCATATGAGAGCTTTCGTCATCAGAACCCTCTGCCAAATTGGACAACAGGCATCACTGGCCAGCACTCTGGAATCTCGAGGCATGGGTGTATGTTGTGTTTCAGAGACACGCATACAAGACCCGAGTATAGTCATTCACTTAACCCCACCTGGCCAACAAGGTAAATCTGCGAAATCCACCTAAAGAGCGTCAGGAAACTCCTCATCTAGTTCGCGAGGACTCGCTGGTGTAGGGATAGCATTGAGTGTCAAGACAGGAAAATCACTTCTTGACCGGATCCCAGGGGATATTCGTATGTGTTCGGTCAGTCGGAATGGGTCCGTTAGAAGAAGGAAGGACGGCGTTACTCATCGTTATCTTTTCATAGTCAGCCCCAACAGGCTGCAGTTCGGATGAACTAAAGGATAACTTCTGCCTGAAACTGTCTAATTTGCTGCAAAAAGTAAAACGTTAAGATATAGTTCTTTTAGTAGGCGATTCCAATGTCCAAGCAGGGAAGTTGTGCCAGACCGAGAAGTATGTAGGTGGTACGTATGGAGTTCCCTGCCGACGAACCGACAACGGTGATCGTCTTCTACAGTTTTGCTCAGATAATCATTTGTTCCTAGTCAGCACTGACTTTAGGACCAAAGAGAGACATTGCGTAACCTGAGGACCTCCATCACCAAATCAACGCTGGACTCAGATAGACCACATAGCTATAGGGTATCGTTGGCGAGGGTGAGTGGAAGACTGCCGGTCCTTCTGGAACACGTGCGTAGACTCCAATCACGCCCTGGTACGTGCACGTTTATGTTTACTAGTGAATGGACATAAGAACAGACGGCGATGGAGCTGTTAAGCAACCACCTTGATCGAGACTCTGAGTTCCTAATCTCGGAAGAAATAGCCAAAACGTATCTGAGATGGACACCAGGACTCCTCCTGTGAAAGCCTGGCACAATATACAATTACCTGCAGATTCACCCGTATAGGCTGTTGTTGATAACCAAAAACCAAAGAGTTAGTAAACGTCAGTGGATTTCCACTACCTCATCCAAACTGATGAAAACAAAAAGACTGATTCTAGCCGTCTCTGAATATGATGAGGAGCGAAAGCTGCTCAAACGAAAACTAACAAAAAGTCTTTGCAACGACCGTGAACAGTGGTGGGCGAAAAAAGCGGAAAAGATGGAAGAGGCATAGGCGACAGGTAACACCAGACAACTATTTAGGCTTATCAGGAAAAGAGGTATCAGTAGGCAAACGGGTGCATCCATCATATATTCACCCTTCGACCGATTCTGGAGCAAACGCATACTTACTGGCATCTAGCAATTGCTATATTTCTTGACCTCAAGGCGGCACTGGATTCTGTCGACTCATAAGTACTGTGGTAATGTTTGGCTGTGAAGAGAATGACGAGAAAATACATCGAACTGATCAAGGCACTCCACTTGAACTCATGCGGTTAGCAAGGTGACAACCTACAGACAGTTGTCATCTCAAGTGACAACAACCAGTGGTATCCGTCAGGTATGCCCCCATTTAATACTGTTTAACTTCTTCATAGGTGTACTAGTGGCCTTAACCCTAACTGACTTCAGCTACTCAGGGATTGACTTGTTACCAGGGAATAATCTTGTTGACTTAGAATATGCAGATGATATTGTCCTCCTAGGTGAAGACGCCGACAACATTCAGAGTCCTTTGAACACATTGAGTAGCAATCTTCGAATGTTTGGCATGCGATTCGCTCCTGTTACTATTCTTTTCGCCTCATATCTCTGTTAACTGTCTCTATTTTGCGTTTCTTTTTACTTTAATACGAAGTGAAGTGGTAAAGCGCGTTGACCGCTTCACTTGTTTTGGAAGATGCATAAATCCCAACGGGTTGATCGCTGACGAAATCTCAGTACGGATACAGAAGGCTCGTTTCGCATATGCCAGTTTACGACATCTCTGGGTAGACACGATATCTGGCTATCGACTGAGAAGCATGTGTACTGCTCAGCAGTTCGCTCCCTCCTCCTATATGACTGAGACATGGCCATTGAAAGTACAAGATACCAAAAGGCTGACTATCTTTGATCATAGGTGCCTGCGTTCTGTCTCCCATGTGAAGTGGTATAATAGGGTGAGCAATATTGAGGTTAGGCGTCGAGTGCTAGGTAAGTAGGAGAAATCAATCGACGAGGCTGTGGAGCTACATAGACTGAGATGGTTAGGACATGTGGTAAGCATGCTTGGCCATCGCCTTCGTTCACGCTCAATGTTAACTGATATAGGATTAGATTGGAAAAGAGCTAGTGGTGGTCCAACCAAAACATGGCTTCATCAGTCAATGAAATCCACAACAGTTAGTTTAAGTCATGCAGGGAGGTGTAGACTTTCTGGTTGGGGTCTTCAGGATGGTAGAAACCAATGACTGGAGACAATTGGCGAATTGGCTCAAAATCGTTCTCAATTGTGAAGATGCTTTCATTCTTTGTGATTTTCAATATCCGATAAAATTCCACTGTCCTTTCATATTACTATTTTTTTGCCTCATATTTCTGTTTATTATCTCTCTTTTGAGTCTTTCTTTAGTCACGAAAATGTACCCGAGGACGACACAAGTATCTGACTATTCTTAGCAGAATTGGATAAGATTTTGTCAGAAACGTGGGAGCTAGGTGAATAGATCTAGATGAAATACGTGTAACGGTCGATGAAGTCGCGTCCCATCTCCTGAAGTGACTAGGCCATATATTAAGCATGCGTACCTACAACTTACCTCAATGTGATAGGCTATCAGAAGTGTAGTTACACCGGAATAAGCCTAAGGATGACCTCATCAAAGTATTATACTGATCTACTGAGTCTGTCTAGGTTCTGTAGGGTGATAAATGCAGCATCGTCGGGGTTCACATGCTATTATGGACTTATGGTTAGAGACGGTGGGTGATAGGTCTCATAACAGCGTGGCAGATGCTTTCATACTTTCTATTCGCCTTAAGCGCGAAATCACAATTTAACTGCTTCAGCTTCCGTTTCTTCATTTTACAACACTACGACTGCTTCTTATATTTCCACTTCTTTGCCTTTCTCTAAACTCTAATTCACGTAATATTGATATGAGGATAAAACCTGGGCACTGTGGTAGAGTATAACTCCGTTATGGATGAAATTTATTCTGATAAAAACACAGTATTATACAGTAATAGTTACTGATGACGTTTCGAGCACAAATTACCGCTCACAATCATCAACTTTCTTGCTTCATCTATATACCCGATTGTATGGTTGGGTGTTTATGTATGTAGTGCAATGCTGAGTTTTTTTTCTAAATTACTTATATTCAAGGGGTCAGTCATTCTAACCTTGGCTAAATTCTTATGTTCTGATAATCTCACTACTCCTGATCTACTAGTTTGACCTATTTAGCTGACCTCACAGTCATCGCAAGATATTTTGTAAATTATACTATTTAGTTTAATTGGGTCTAATTCATGTACAGCTATGACCAGTAAGCAGCTAGGTCCTATACTGATAATGTCAACCCTTCTTTTTGAGTGATTTTGATAACATTTATTTGTATGACTGACTGCGGTACCTGATGGACAAATAGAGATGACTGATTAATACCATGTCACTACAAGCATGTAGGAACGTTGGTGACTATCTTCGCCTGACTAAACTATTTTTTTCAGCCATCTCTGTGCCAGTGAATCACCCTTAGAAAACTTGAGTGTGTTAATCTTAATTTATGGAATCTACATCTGTCTGTTTTCGACATAGAACTTTGCACAAATGTGCGGAAGTTCAAGTCGCCACACTCCGTGTAGCACGCGAAGCAAGAGAAGAAAGTACAAGAAAAGCATAATAGAGACAGTGAGCAGAGGTGTGAGACAAAGTAGTAATAACGAAGAACAAAACAGTTTCATTGGAGATCATAAGTCACAAGGAGTGGATGCATCGGCGCCATTGAGGACGATTTTGAGCCATGTCACCAATTGTTCCTAACCATTGGGTTTTACCGTCCCGAGGACCCCAACCCAGAAGTCTCCACCTTCCTACGTGGTTTAGACTAACTGTTGTAGATTTCATAGACTGGTGAGGCGGCCATGTTTTGGTTTGACCACCACTAGCTCTTTTCCAGCCTGACCCTATGTCAGCTAACATTGCCCATTGTCGAGGAAGGCGATGACTAGGTATACGTAACACATGTCCTAACCATCTCAGTCGATGTAGCTTCACAACCTCGTCGATTGATTTCCCCTCCTTACTTAGCACCCGACCGACACCTAACCTCAATATTGCTCACCTTATTATGCCACTTCACACGGGAGATAGAGCGCGATACATTCACTGATTGTAATTCCCCAGGTTAATTAATTCCTGTAGATTTTTCCTTATAAGTATTGTTTCTTCCGTACATTTCTGATCATAATGGTTCTTTGAATTATTTCATGCTGCTTTCTCTACTTCTTTGTTGCATATGGAGTATGGCAAACTGAACTGTTGCACTTGTGTACAAAGTTCCTAATCAATCGGTTTTTGAAATTTATGTATTCATATATTCAATATATCCTATTTTAAGGTATTATTTGATATGTTTTCTAGATTGTACTGGGAAATTCTTGGAGAGGCCTACTTATTACGTGGTAGTCATGAGACTGCTATCAGATCATTCAACCGGGCATTAGGAGTAAGTTAAGGTTGAAATACTTAATTTTGGTTGAGAAAAATCAGCGTAAGTCAAGTGTAACAATAAGTTTACCAATTCAATTGAATTTGATGAATCATCTGTCGTTTTCTCACTGTTGGATTAATCTATGCGAATAGTTGTAGTAGAAAATAGGCTGATTTTATGAAGTGTAATTGTTTTACTCGTTTTGCTTCTGCATAATAATTGCAACCAATTTGATGCACAGTTCTTTTAGATTTGGGTTTCATTCTTTTTCATACCATTCGAAGAAAAGCAACACCCTGAAGATTTAGAATTTCATACCGTGCCACAATAACAGCAGTCATCTCACAAGCATCTGAAAATCAAACAAACAGTTACCTTTTACTGTGTTCTAAAATGCTATTCATCACAATACGGTGTAGTTGTACAGTAATATTAACGGATGACGTTTCGAGCACAAACTATTGCTCATAATCATATCAAGTTACTCACACAACTTATTCCTTCATTTATATATATGTGTGGAATTGACTAGATATTTGAATAAAAGTCAATATGAGATAATGTACATTCAGAAATAATAATATGAATGTTATTGATCAATTACACTCAGATGGGAAATAAGATGAATGTTTTTATAGTCAAAATAAGTAACTCGTCAGAATGTTATGATGCACTTGAATCGAAATAGAATTTTAAGATTATGTATTATCCTCCTCTGATTTGACTGGCGGTAATTATATCTCCCATATTGCTGGTATTTGCATTGAGTCATTTCTGTTGCATGTGTTGGGTGTAGATTCAATGATCCAGGACCCAGTAATCAATCTCTCTCTCCACCTACATAGATTGCATCTTTAAATCTTACCCCTCTCCCACCCTATTGTGTAGTTGTTTGTTAATTCGTGAAGTGCAATTGCTGAGCATTTTACTAAATTACTTATCTTTTCAGGGTCAACCATTCTTCCCTAAGCCAAACTCTGATAATCTGACCAGCCCCGACCTACTAGTTTGACCTATGTAGTTGACTTAACTCACAGTCATTGCAAGGTATTTTGTTGATAATATTATTTTGTCTAATTGGGTCAACAAGGTTCTTTAACCTACATAGCTTGTCTCTCAGTGAGTTTGTAGGCTTGAATGCCACTCTAATTCCTGCTTTATTGAGAATCCTACGCAGGGTTCAGACATCCCTTACTTATGTGATCGAACTGTAGATGCCCTATATTCTCTCTTATTTATGTTATCCTTATTAATTTCATTGTTATATTTTATTTTTCTTGTGACCTTTCTGATCTTCCTAATCATTTTTATAGGATAGTTATATGACACCAAAGCTTCCTGGATCTGTTTTATTTCATCATTCAGGTCTTTTGTTGCATTAGTTAGTGCTGTTGCTCGGTTTGTTAGACACTTAGTTAAGCCTGCCTTAACAGTTAGCGGATGAGATGAATTAAAGTCTAAGTGTCTATTCGAATGTGTTGGCTTTTTATAAACGCTAGTGTACAGTTTACCTTCATCTGTTCATTTTATTCTACAATCTAACATAGCTAATTCTCCTTGTTCATTTTCTGATTCAAATGTAAATTGTATTCCCCTCACTAATGAGTTTATATGTGTCAAGAAGCTAGAGAGAGATATGTTCTGCTTCTAACACTGTGAAAGTGTCATCCACATATCTCCACCATATTTTCGGAGTAGGATTAAATGTATTAAGAGCAATATTTTCCCAGCTGTCCATAGAGGTATCTGCTACGATAGGGGATATTGGTGATCCCATTGTTACACCTGTTTGTCTATAAATTTTGACCTGGAATTTAAACATAGTAGATGTGAGATATGACTGAATTCCTCAATTAATTTTCTCAATGAACAGCTTCGTCCTATGAGTAAGTTCAGGATCAGCAGTTAGTTCTCTTTTAACTGCTTTTAAGGCCATATTGATTGGTATAATAGTATAAAGACTAGTTATATCAAAACTAATCATTATTTTCATCAATCTCTAGTTAAATGTCATTTAGTTTATTTTTCATCTCATATGAATTAGTTAGTCTAGAGTTTGAACGATTGCTAATTTGATGTAATATTAGTGCTACGTGTTTTGATAATTCATAAGTAAGGATATTCCTGAAATCTGCTATCGGTCTTATGGGGTAACCTGGCTTATGTATTTTAATAGTACCATACATTCTACTAGCATTATTAGTTTTAGGCATTAAATTAAACTATTTAGACTCACCCAGTGATGGCTTCATTCTCCGTATTAATTCCGCTGTAGATTTCTTCACCTTATTCATAATTGTATCTACAGGCTTCTTAATTTCTTCATACGGACCTGTTTGAATATGTTCAGTAACTTTTTTGATATAGTCAGATTTATTCAAAGCTACGGTGGCCTTTCCCTTGTCAGGTTTTGCGATGACAATATTTTTATTCTGTTTTAGACTAATTAAAGCTTCCCTTTCTGATTTTGTTAAGTTTGATTTTGCCTTCTCTTGATTTTTGAGGGTTAATGCACATTGTGCTTGAGCCTCTTCTGCTGTGGTCTTATTTATTGAACCTAGTGCTCCTTCTATGTTAGGAATGACATCCTCTGGTTTTAATTTGAAATTTAGTCCTTTCTCCAGTACTATAGAAAGATAGCTGATCAGTACTCCGTGTATTTTATTAATTCTCTAACTGATGTAGATTCATGACAAAACGTACCTTGTGTTGAACTCCATACAGTTAGTGAATTCTTATTTTCATCATATGTTTATTCAGTTGGTTTAGTAGTGTCGTTTGTCCTTGTGACTACTCCATTTTATGTGAAGTATGATATACGTTATAAGTTAAGGTTTTAGAAAACCTTTATGCTTTTTGTAATTTAAAAAAATTTTTTTCTTATTTTAGTTGGAACCAAATCGACCATTTGCGTTAATTCTGTAAGTAACATTCATGTGTTTATACGCATAATTCTCAAAATAAAACTTCTATGCACATTTTATTATCGTCGCGGACTAAATTTTATGTAGTTGATGTCCTGTAAATGTATTATTTACCAGATGATGTCCCGAACACATCTTATTGTTTATAATCATATCACTTGTAATTACACAACTTCGAGACTTCAGTTCTATAGTTTTCTTTATGTTTTCTCATTTGTCGAAGGGGCAGTAGAATTTTCAAGATGTCCGGGATAGGTGTTGAACCTTTTCTATTAAACGTATTTTCAGCTGATCTGATAAATAAGACCTCCGTTATCAATGTCTCCCTCCACTCTATTATATTAGACTTTAGGGCTGTCATATTGTCTCCCACCCTATTGTGTGGTTGAGCGTAATTGCACGTAGGGCTATAACTGAGCAAGTCTCCAGATTTCTTAACTCATTAGGGTTAACTAATCTAGATTTTGCTATATTTTTATGCTCTGCTAATCTGATTCACCCCATTGTACTACCTTGAACTACATATTTGATCTGATAATTATTGCAAGGTATTATTATTAATGTTATTGTTTCCCTTAATTCCTAGAGGAACATAGGGCTTCAGTCGGACGTCTCCATTGCGTTCGGTCCTCTGCCAACGTTTTCATCTTGCTTCACGTCTGCCCACATGCTTTCATCTCTTCGTCACATGACCTCCTCCATGTCACCCTCGCCGCTTTCCGTTCGGGTTCCAGTTCCACTCAAGTGATGGCCTGGCGTGTGATATCACTTGATGGTTTCCTCAGAGTATGGCCAATTCACCTCCATCTCTTCCTGGATATTTGTTGCACAATCGGTTCCTGGTTGATTAGCTCATTTCCAGAGATCCCTGTTGCTAATCTTTTCTGGTCATCTGATCTTGAGCGAAGAAAGCTGTTGATGAAGGTCTGTATTTTGTTCGTGACGCCGCGCCAGGTCTCTGATCCGTATAGTAGCACTGACTTCACATTGGAGTTGAAAATCCGGATCTTGTTTTCTATTCTGATTGCTGTTGACCTCCACACAGACGTGAGAGAAATGAAAGCTTGCCTTGCTCCGATATCCTCGTCAGTTCCGTTAGCCTGTAGTCGAAACGATGCTTCCCTGGTAGGTAGAGGAGGTTGCTTCTTCCGGATTTCTGTCACTATGCTGATTGTTGTCTGTTGTTGTTGTTGCTGTCGGCCAGGAATCTTCATCACCTTCGTGTCCACCTTCTCTATGTTCACCTGAAGACCTATCTTTGATTCTTCTTCCGCCAACTTGTTGCTTTTCACTTGCATATATTCCGGTTTGTGGCAAATCAGACATATATCATCGGCGAACTCCAGATCCTCCAAGATTTTTGTGCGGGTCCATTTTATGCCTGCTTCCTCGCAGCCCGCTATCCGTCACATTATCCAGTCTACCGCTACAAATCAGGAAAATCATTGGACACAGTAGGCAGCCAGCCTTGTCTTACTCCCGTCTTCACTTCGAAGGATTCCGTGAGTTTCCCGTTGTGGATTACTTGGCATGCAGCATTGTCGTACAACTGTTGCATGAGATGTATTGTTGGCGGAACCCCGTAGTAGCGAAGTAGTTTCCAAATCACCTCTCGATCAACGCTATCGAAGACTTTTTCAAGGTCAATGAAGTTGAAATAGGGAGCTTACTGCCATTCCAAGCTCTGTTCAATGATGATTCGTAGTGTGGCGATTTGATCGATGCATCACTTGTTTCTCCTGAATCCAGCCTGTTCCGGGCGAAGTTTTTCATCCAGGTTGGCGTGTTTGATTCTCTCCAGGATGATGCAGCTTAGTATTTTGCTTAGGATAGACAGGAGCAGAATACCATACCAGTTCTTACATTGACTTAAGTCCCCTTTCTTTGGCAGTTTCAATAGGTAGTCTTTCTTCCAGTCCGCAGGTAACTTGCTCTCTTTCCACACCTTCTCCAGTAGTGGTGTCATCAAGTCGGCTGATGTCTGTGGGTTCATTTTCAATGCCTCTGCTGGGATTCCGTCTGGTCCTGCTGCTTTTCCAGCTTTTAGCATCTTGATTGCCCTCAGGATTTCTGTCCTCGTCCGAGGGTTGATGTACACCGGTAGTTCTGCTCCCACTGTTGATATTACTGGGCGCGTCGTAGGTGGCGGTCGATTTCGAAGTCTTTTTGAGAGATCAGCCCAGTGTTTCCTTTGCTCCACCTATTTGGTGATTGGCTTTCCATTGTCATCCTTCACTGGCTTCATTTGCGTTAAGCGTTTCCCCGATAGGAACCTAGTTGTTTGGTAGAGTGATGCGAGGTCTCCTTTGCCTGTACTGCAGCTTGCTCTGCTTCACTTGCCATAGCTTCATATTTTCCTTTGTCTTTCCTGGCGCTTTTCTTTACTCTTTTGTTCAGTGTATTGTAGCTTGCATTCAACTCCTGTTTTTGTTGCTCGTCGATGCACTGGATAATCTCTTATTTCGCCATCCTTCTCTCTACTATTAGTCTCCACGTGTCCGTAGTGAGTCACTGTTTGTCCTGTCTCTTCTTTCTACATAGAACTTCCATGCAGGTTTGACTCCACACCGCTTTCGGGTTGTTCCAGTGTTTTTCAACGCTGGTCTCTTCGCTAGTGTTGATTTGTGTCTTTGTCCTTTTCCTTATGTTTGCAGTGAAGACGTCCTTTGTGGCCTGATCCTTCAGGTTTTGAGTATTGAACTTGGCTTGCGGTCTTTCTGCAGGTCATGTTTCCTTGAAAGCTTTAAATTTGGTTTGGAGTTTTCCTTGCACGAGATAGTGGTGTGAACCGACGTCTGCTCCTCTTCTTACTTTTTTTTCAGTAAGCTGCATCTCCACTTCCTGGAGCAGCTTTGAGAAGAAGTCAGTATGGTTTCTGATTCGCCCGTCTTCTGACACCCATGTATGCTTGTGCATGTATACGCTCCCACCAATCACCGGCTCTTTGAAGTCAGAGAAGTCAGCGATGAGTTCTCCGTTTCCATTCTCCCCCGAGAGCTTCTCTGCCTATAATGAGTTCTTTTCCTGTGTTGTCTGATCCCAGTTTGGCGTTCATGTCTCCCATTAGTATTTTAATGCCACCGACTGGAGTATTGTTTCATTGTTGGCTGTAGTAGTTTGTAGAACTCTTTTTTCTTTTCCAGGTCTGCGTCGTTTTTGGGTGCATAGCATTGTGTAACTCACTTTCCTTCCTTTTGAGTAGAATTTGGCGGTCATTATCCTGGGCGAGAGCGTTGCCGTTGGTGACATCATAAAATCCACCTTCAGCGTCCTCGTGGTTGTCTTTAGGGTGACAGGAGTAGATCATCGATTTTACCGTTGACAATTTTATGAGTCCACTCCCATCCCATCTGCTTTCACATATACCCAATACCTGAATACCATATCTTTTCATCTCTTTTGCAGTCTGGGCAGCTTTGCCAGTTTCATACATAGTGCGGACATTCCATCTCCCAGGCTTTTTTCTTTTGTCTCAAGGAGACTCATCGTACTGAAGTTTCTTTAGCAGCTTTGTTTATAGAGTGGAGTTGCTAGCCTCACGCCTGAGAAGGGGGTTGTTACATGTATATATAGTTTACAGTTGGGCGACTTTTTGGGTTGCTCCCCTTAGAATCAAGAAAGTAAGGAATAAAGCAATCAGAACAACACCAGCAAAAGTAAAAAACATTCACAACAGGAGGGGCAGCGACAACAACAAAAAAAGCCCGTAGCAGTAGTATCACTGTCAAATACAATTAGCAAAAATGATATCAAAACCTTGGACTCCCTGACTTGGGTCAACCTGAGTATATAAATCCAATGATATGTGCAATTATAGATATTAGTTAGTGTTAAAGAGTCGCAAAATGCCAAACCCTTAGTTATAGGTATTATCAGTCAATAAGATTATATCCACAGATTCAGTGTTCGAAGGTAAACTAACTACGATAAATTCCACAACTTGCTGGTCAGAAACACCAGAGAAATGAGAGTTTTATGTAACTAAGCAAACGTGGCATACTAATCAAAAAGCACGTCAAGGTCTATTGATAACATGGGCATTGTTGTAACCTCTAACGCATAAATGTAGTGATATTGTCCTAGGTTTTCTATTTTTTCACTTCTCAAATCTGACAGTTTTATTCACAGGACCGTATTGTTTGCTCCACTCATTGTCATTAAATTGTGTGAATCTGATGGATTTATTTTGAGTACTACTTGTAACACTGATTGGTGTCCACTGGCTAATTCATATTTTTTTTAAAATTCCTTCGTATTGATTAATACTATATTCCCAATATGAATTGATCTTTTTTTATTCAACTAACTTCTTATGTAACCATTGTTTTCTCATACTATAGGTGTGGACGAGCTTATCGTCATATGAATGAAATTTCTGCATCACTTTCTTGCTTTGATAAGGCCTTGAGTGAGGTTGTAGGATGTTATATGACTGATCCTCTGTATCGGAAGTTTTATGTTCTAATACTTAAGGGTGAGATTAATGTTTTTTTAAAGAACTTATTTATGTTTATCCTTTTTTGTTTCACTTGGTTGTACACCTCTTCTTTATACATACTGATGAAATCATAGTGTAGATGTGTAGTACTTACTTGCCTTTTGTTAAATATCATCAATTGTTAGCAGTTAAAATATGTGACTATCTGTCAAGAGTTGACTACATTGGTTAGTGGGCTCCGTCATTATAGCTCCCGAATACGTCATCATAAAGATGGAGACTGCGTAAGTACATATCTCCATGGCAAATAATATAGTTACCGTGTTAGTAATGTAAAGAATAGGTGGAGAACATTAGCTGTGGTTGCTTAAGTTATAAACCCCCCTTTGAATTAAGTGCTTGGAAGTATTACACTTGTGCAGTCATCGTCTACATCAAATGAACTGGAAAGGAATTGAAAATTATTTGTTTTTCATGAATTGTATATGAGCTCTCAAAATGAATATTTTGCAACTGTAGGTCCAAATTAGTTAATTATAATGATGTCGATTCCCAATGTGGTGAATCACACCATATGTAGTGAATTAGTTCATATTTGCCATGTTTCTGTGATCAGAGCTTACGTAATGGTCATTTTCCATATAATAATAATAATAATAATTTACTTTATTCCAAAAACAGTACTTGTGATACAGAATGGAATTTTCAGCATTAATCACAGTATTGCATCTAATTTCCTCAAATTATAAATAAAAACTAATCACACAGAAAATATTCCACATTTACAATAGAGGTAGTGTCAAAAACATGCAGCATATAAAATGGAAATAATAATGATAACAGCTAGGGTAATAATAATATTACAAGTGAAAATTGCCGTGGGCTTGTTTCATATAGTATTGGCAATGTGGTATAGAAATCCTAACATGTTTAAAAATATTGAATATAATGTTCCCTTTACATGATATGGTGGGGGGAAAAACAAAGATTACAGCAGGTATAGGATAAGTTGGTGTTCGCAATTATGAGAGTAAAACAAAGAAACACCAGGACCGTAAATATAATAAAAATAATAAAAGTAAAACTTCAAGATACATAGGGATGGATGGAGGAAATTGTTTATTAGATGAAAAAAGGTTAGTTAGTTCTTGTCTGACGCTATTTTCATCACATAAAATACGTGACAAGTATGGTATCATAGAATTTTTATACTTAGACGTGCGAGCATACAGTTTTCTGAAGTTACTTCTTGTTCTACCTGAGGAGATGCAAGGTGAAAGCTGAGGGTAAAGTGGATGCTCCAAGTCAGACAAAATCCCTTTAGCAAATTTATTGCATGAAGTCAAGTGCCTATCGACAACGACGTTAACTATGTATTCCACTGGGACACCACTCACCCTACTGACCCCCTTCAGCATTCTATGAATTGTGACATAGTCTTTTTTAAGCAAACCAGGAAAGAATAAGGGTGAACAATAAAAAAGAATAGGTAGGATGCAAGAGTTTAGGAACTGTTAGAGGATGGGTTGAGTTATACCCGAGCGCCTTAACTTCTTAATGTAAAATGTCAGGCGGAATATTTTACTGGAGATCGCTAAGACATAGGAAGTCCAGGAGAGATCAGAAGAGAGAATAAGTCCAAGATACTTAATTTCTGATTTGATTCCTATTTCATTGTCGTCAATTTTTACAACTCATGAGAATCGACAACTTCTTTTAACTGCCTTTTACATCTTAAGCTGAAATTAACAGTTTGACATTTAGAAGGATTCAGTTTAAGATCGTTAGACTAAGACCATTTGCTGACTCCCGATAGAAGCTATTTATTTTAGTACAATCTAGCTGGGAGTGGAAGACTTCCCTTTATATTCGGTGTACTGCTTTCTTTCTGAGAAATAGGAATGTAACCAGTTAACAGCCCAACATTCTGTTTGACTTGCAGCAAGTTTATCTAATAAGATGTCCCTAGGGACCGAGTCAAAAGCAGCTGTATAGTCTAGGAAGGCACAACGAACAAATTTAGCCCCCTTGTCTAGACTGGAAGCAATGTTATGATGTAAGATGGCAGCTGCATCTAAAGTGCTTCTACTGTGCTTATAGGCAAATTGTTTAGGGTCATTAATGGATTTAAATGAAGGTAGAAGACTAAGTAAAAGTAATTTCTCCATAGTTTTCAAAAAGGGAGATGTAATAGCAATGGGTCTAAATTTGACACATGCTCCAGTAGTTGATTCAGGTATGGGTACAACTTTAATGTCCTTCCAAATGGCAGGCACAATATTATCGGAAAAAGGTTTGTTAAATAGATCAATGAGAGGGTGACACAGAATATCAGAACATTAAAAAAAATAATACTGGGTACATAATCTGGACCTAAGCTCTGGGAAGGGTTCAGAGACTTGAGGCACTTTTGAACATCATTTGTGTTAAAACCTGGAAATGGGCTATAATTAACACTAGTGATGCTGGGAAGAATGGCATTTGAGGGAGAGTAAATAAAAGATTGGTTAAGAGTACATACATCAAAAGAATATGGAATATTGTTTATCTGCTTACCACCAATGATTTCCTTAAATAGTTTCCACATATTAGAAGGATTTTTGTAGGATATGAATTTCTGGTTATATATTACATTCAACCTCTGCACTTCAGACTTAATTGAGAAGTTAGTTCTTTTTACACCACTTTTATCTTTCATTTTATATAGTTTTTCCTTCTCTCTACTAAGCTTTTTAAGTTGAGGGGAGGAGAAACGGTCAGATTTGACGAATAGTGTTTCTTTTGGACAGCAGATTTCAAAACAGAATTTCAGATAAGATGTAATATTAGAGATAGTGTCATCAAGTGAATCATTATTAAACAGATCCCATCTTGTGTCACTGAGCATGTTTCTAAAATGATGTACGTTCTCATTTGGGTAACATCTGTGAACAACTTTCTTAGACAAGTTTGATAAGGCTTTGCTGTGTAACTTTCCGTAAATTTTGGGTAAAGCTCGTACAATACAGTGATCAGAATTGAAGAGCGGGGCTCTTTTACGTGCTTCGTATATTCCAGAATCATTTATAAATACTAAATCAAGTGAAGTATCTTGTCGAGTTGGGAAGTTAACATTTTCATGGCCCAGCAATGTAATAAAACTGCAGTCGCTATAGTTGAAGTCGACATTTTACAGTTATACAATCAATATTGTCATTTGAGAATTTGAAGCAGACTTTGTTGGCGGTAGACCACTGAGAATCAATAAAAGTGGCAACACCACTACCCCTCTTCTTCTTTGAGCTGCATCGGTCTTGTCTGTACATTGTGGAACCACTTAAGGAGACTAAATTATCGTCATATGAGTCGTGGAGCCAAGTTTCTTGAAGAGTTATTACACCAGCATTACAATATACATTTGAGTATAATAGAGAATGCAAGTAGTCAATCTTGTTCGACAATGTTCTGCAATTTGTGCTCATAATCACAGGAACAGTCATCTGATGCATTGGAGTGGACTTTAAGGGTCTTTGCCACTTACCGTGATGCTTATTCTTAAGTTTATTATGTACTCGTAAATCATCAGGTTGAAAACATTTTAAATAATCGTGAGAGTAAGTAATGCGATTTGTACACATAATTGAATGATTAAAACAAAATAAATCCGAAGAAATAGATGCAATATGTAGACTGGAAATTTTGGTAGCCCAATATTTAAGCAGACCGCCGTTATGTAAAACAGTCTGTTTAAGTAGTCGTTGAATTATATGTCGAGATCCTAACTTTAAGTCATGAATATATATATATATATATATATATATATATATATATATATATATATATATATATATATATAACCAGTTTCAGTTTATTAAATCATGGGTATGATCTGCACTTAACTTTTTTTGGCGTCTCCACAATTTGTCTACCGGAGTGATATGAATAGCTGAGAAGGGTTCAACGAAATGTCATATATAGTTGAGTGAAAAAAATATACTTTAGTGTTAGCACCTGATCGCAAAAAATGCTGAAAAGCCACAGTTAACCTGAGGATAACCTCCAGTTTTCATTTTTGTGGCTATTCTAGTTTCTTCAACATAAAAGACTTAAAAGTGCATCTTCGTGTATACAGTATTTTCATCATTAACAGTTTCAACTGGAAAAGAAAGTCACTGCGAAATTGCTGTACTCAATATCATATTATCCTTGAACTTCACTGTGTACTTCATCCCGCACCAACACCGATTATTGAACTATTTGAGACTATGGAGAATTGGAAAGCAGTACGCACCTGTCGATCTCTGGTGTGTTTGATTGGTGAATCGGTGGATTCAAAGTTTTTTTTCATGATATCATGTATGGAAATTCCATATCGAGTAGCAACTGAATTCTAATAATAGTACTGACCTAGTTAATTCCGCGATGATTTCCATTTGACATTCTTAATAGTGTGACGATTCTGAAAAATAGGGGTTAACATCCATGTGAGTACATGATTCATTTAGGAAATTCGACAGAATCCCCGTAGGCTGTGGTCATCAACTGACACTTGAACTGCCGATTTGATTCCTAATGGCTGAATTTTTCCGACAGAACTTTAGCTACTCCTGAAAAAGTCGTTGTTTTGAAGGATTTCGAATCCCAGTGGGTGCGTACTGCCGATGATTCCCAAACTAGGATGAAACAGCAACTGTCCAGTACTCCCTGGTTTTCAATGGTTCTCTAGATGGTATTAATCCGTGATCAACTCGTAAAAACATTAGTAACTCTTACAAACCAAAACTATAGAAAATTAATCTAAAAGCGTTAATATAATCGTCATGCAATACCTTGGCAAATACCGATCAATTTATAGCGTGTTAAACTGCATGGTATTATTTCAGACAACTACAGATTTTGATAGCGTTATTAGAAGACGGAGACTGTCTGAAAAATGTGATGTATTAGCGCTATACATTTCGAACAATCTGATCACACATTTACTTGTCAAGTCAATATATATAGAAAGGTTAAATTAAACAAAGTGAGAGAAAACGGAATTAAGAATAATTAACACAAACGTTTGGTAATCCAATCAAATAAGGATTACCAAGGTAGGTTAAGAGTAATGACAAACTGTTTTTGAATACACAAGGGGGGCTTAAGTCTATGAATAGCTATAGCCTCAGCGTATTTCAGTAAACGCCCTTGACCGTTTTTATAGATGACCTTAAAGGCTGAGTTAACATCAATCTTATGGTTCATCTCGATTAGATGTTTAGCTATAGACGAATTTGGTAGTCTGCCACCTGCATCTATTAGCTTGTCACAATTCATCTGTTTTTCTAACCATTTTGGGATATGCTCTCCCACCCTCACGTGCAAAGCGCGATTACTCCTCCCTATGTATGTATGTCCACACACACACGAAAATTGGTAAATTGTATGGGATGTGATATAATCACTTGTGCACTTTTGGGGTTTACAGTGAAGCATATTTTTAGCTTTTTCCACAATTACAAGCTGGGCTGCATAGTAGGTTCTACGGATGATTGAATTCAACCTTTGTCTCACAATCCTACTGTTTATTTCCCCGTTATATGGTAATTTGATAAAAACCTTTTTCTTAGGGACGGTATGGATTGTAGGTTTAGAGGCTAGTTGACTTCTACACCTGTTTAAAAATTTCAAAGGATATCCGTTTTCAACAAGAGTATCCATTAATATTTCGTTTTCTCTGTCCATAACATCAGCCGTGCAAATACGCTGAATCCTCTTGAATAGACACTTCACCAAGCCCCTCTTATACTGTAATGGACAGAAGCTGTGAAAATTAAGGTATTGCCCTGTCCACCCGGGCTTTCTGTAGATAGACCGTCTTATTGAGCCATCATCTCTTCGACTCAGAAGTATGTCTAAAAATGCTAGCTGGTTGCGACTTTCTTCCTCACATGTAAGACTAATATGATTTTGTACAGAGTTAAGTCTGTCTAATAGGCGACTCGCATCTTCATGATCGTCACATATCAAAATGATATCATCTACATATCTCCTATAAAAGGGCAATTTTGAAATTAAATCAAGGGATAAGTTTTCAACATAAGACATATACACGTCGGCTAACAAAGGTCCTAATGGACTCCCCATAGCAACGCCATCCACTTGTCGAAAATGTTCGCCTTCAAACGTGAAATGGACGTTGTCAGTACATAATAATAATAAATCTTTCAAATAAGTTAAAGGGAAAGGGAATGAAAAACAACTAGAAGATATATAGTCACAAAGAATATCAACAGTCTTAATCAATGGTACATTAGTAAACAAAGAATTAACATCAAATGAATACATTTTCCTATCTTTTATGTTCATATCTACAAGACAGTCAACAAGTTCAAATGTATCTTTCAAAGTAAACTTACATAATTCATTGCGTACTGGGCTTAAAATATCAGCTAACCATTTTGCTAGTTTATGTGTAGGAGAGTTACACATTGAAAGAATTGGACGTAATGGATTGTCAACCTTATGAATTTTAGGTAGTCCATAGAGGTTTGGAAAATCAGATCCCATGGGTTTCAAGGAGTTAAACTCCTGTTTATCGATAACGTTCATGCCACGAAGTTTTACTAAATGAGAATTTACTTTTCCTTCCAATTTTCTGATATCATCCGAAGGAACATCGGCTATGAATTTATTTTCGTCATTAAGAATGGATAACATTTTTGTTTTATAATCATTTCTGTCCATTACAACTACACCAGATCCTTTGTCAGGTTTCAGAATAACTATATCGGATCTATTACGTAATTCCTTTAGGGCTTTAAAATGGGTTGATGTTAAAATGCTTCTTTGTTTTCGACTTGAATTACGGAATTGGTGTGCAACATCAACAAATTTAACTTTCAGCCAACTTTGGTCATCTGTCGAGTTTGTCATTACTCTTAACCTACCTTGGTAATTCTTATTTGATTGGATTACCAAAGGTTTGTGTTAATTATTCTTAATTCCGTTTTCTCTCACTTTGTTTAATTTAACCTTTCTATATATATATATATATATATATATATATATATATATATATATATATATATATATATTTGACTTGACAAGTAAATGTGTGATCAGATTGTTCGAAATGTATAGCGCTAATACATCACATTTTTCAGACAGTCTCCGTCTTCTAATAACGCTATCAAAATTTATAAAAGGGACTAATTGTTTTAAACTACAGATTTATCCACTGATATAAGAATTTCCACTGCAAAGTGTTTAGAAATATTATAATTTTGATTGGTTAAAATTCATTACAACCATACCACTTTATCGCTTCTCTACATTTTCAATTTTTTCCAAAGAATTAATTGAAATACACATGATGAAGTGTCGATCGAGTATGTATCAAGGATTTACTGGTCAGGCGATAAACGATTTACAACATGTTCTACACCTACTGGACAAGTACGTTTTGAAGTGTCTTTATCATAATATTTCTTTGCAGTAAAACAAAATGGTTTTGTTTATACATTTTGATTAATTCAATTAGCTCACGTTGTAACACTAATTATAAAGTACACAAAACCCCATCAGCCAGCCTGTGGAGTCCCATATATATATATATTCTTGTCTTTGTATAAATTCATAGAGGGATCTAATTATTTTAAATATCACTGCTTTATGTACTACTTATATGACTTATTTTGGTGTTATTTTCAGTCGAAAATATCAATACCTACATTAAAATGAAATGAAGTTATATTGATGGATGGATGTTTTTACATAACGCAAATTTTCGGGCAGATACCACTGTATAAAGTACATTTCTGCTTTTTTCTTACTAGACTACTGGATTATTTTGTTGGTTCAAAAGTTGTACCCTTTTGGATTTTCCGATACATTGGAGATGTTCTAAGTTTGCTCTCAGTTGTCGACGATCCTAATCTTTTGTAAGTTTTGATTTTGTTTATTTCTTTAATGTAAATGCACTTGGTTTTCTGTTTGTTTTAAAAGTACCACACAGATAGATGTAGACGAGGTTTTTCGTTATTGTTAACCCGTTTTCACAATGTTTGGTCTATGTATCACTTAGGATCTGTCGAGTAGTTGTGTGTCAGTCATTTAACCAGAGTTACAGAATACTGTAGTATACCTGTAATTTCGGTACTCTATTGCAATGCTATTTGGAACGTGGCAACTCGAGCTGCTGCACTTCGGTGCCAAGTTCTATGTGCGTCGGTGGCGAAGCGGTTAGGACGCTCGCTGATCATGCACATGGTCTGGAGTTCGATCCTCTGCCGACGCACACCTGATATCTATGGTCGGCCTGCAAAATTTTGGCTACCGATATCACATGCTGAAAATTCCAAACTTGTACCAAAAATACGGTGTGGCATCAAGCTGTAATCAAAAAAAAAAATCCAGACAGAGACAGACAACAGTGTGATTCAGTCAGTATGAAATTAGTATATAAAACAAAATAGGTATAATCCTATCTAAGGATTTTGGAACTTCTTTATTTAAAAGACTGATTGATAATTAGAGAATATTCCCTTCGTTAAATTCGTCATCAAGTTCTACATTTATATGACCATATTGAAGAATATATTGTTATTAACAACACTAGGTTTTTGAATTACAATGAATCAATAGTGTCAATAGATACTATTTCAAAAGCATGACAATATGCATAAATATCAGATGAATTAAGGAAAGTAACACCGAAATTTATGAATTCATAGGTTCAGCAGCTGACCAGAGTAGCAATATTGGCTAGAGCTGCTTTTCTGCACAAATATGTATTTGTTTCAAGAGAATTGCAATAGTATCTGCTTTTTGAAGTGTTCATTATCTAGAGGCATTTGGTAATTTATTCGAAATCCGATAGATGATAGAGAAACACCTTCAGCGCTTTGTGGGCTGTTTGAACAGGTTGATCTAAAACAGAACTGTTGATGGTTTTTCATCAGCGAACATAGACAAATCCGACATAAACATTAGAAATATAAATGAATTTGTATTTTGACCAGTGTTTCGGGCGACATCTCACAGTGATACAATCAATGTAGTCATTCGAGAATTTGAAACAAACTTTATTAGAAATGGACCATTTTGAGCGAATAAAAGTTGCAACACCTCCGCCACATTTTTTCTTGGAACAAACACGGTCTTGTCGGAATACATTGAAATCATGGTACACTTCGGTAACAATTCTTTAAGGAATTCTACCGAGGGTCCCATTATTTATTGAATGAATATTTATTTTTTCACAGATGTAACTAACCGTTTCAACTATAGGTGCATTTGTGAGTAGAGGTGTTGCGTTCAAAGATATCATAGTCTTATCTTCGTCTCAATTCATAAAGGTAATATCTTTAGTGCCTTCTGTGAATTCAGACGTTTCTTGCACACTGTATTTCACCAGCTGTTCATGTAAGTGTTGTAAAATATTTGCCGACCATTTAGCTAAAGTATGGTAGTGTGAACTGTGCATATGTAGAATCGGTCTTAACGGCACTGCAAGTTGATGCAGTTTGGATAATACTAATAAGCCACTTGATGTGTGTGTGTGTACCCATGTGTCTGATTTCGTCATATAAACCTGCGGAAAGTATGTGTTTCTCCCTTAGTTTCTTTAAACATCTGGCTATTTCATTATTTAAGTCCTTGTTTTCCTCCAGTTTTTGAAACTATAGTTTGTTTTTCAGGTTATCATTCGTCTTTTTGATACAATGACTTCTATCAAGGAGGAACGCTCCTAATCCTCTACAGGTCTTGTATTTATCTATTTCTTGTTATTTACATACTTTTGTAGTTCTTCTCTGTATTCCTTTGCCGGAGTCGTTTTACAGTTGTACTGTGTGTCTTTTATATTGACAACAACAGTCTGCTAAACTGGGTTTAAGATACTTTGAATCCAGGCTGGATGATGGAACTAGTTCCCTTATATGATCATATGGGTTTTCGAACTGTACATCTGTATCTATGGGGCTGATTCCTTTGCATCTATCTCGAAATGTTTGGTCATCCTAGTATTCAGATCATAAATAGGCCAGTTAAAAGTGTGTGCATATCGAATAGACAGTGTTATATTGAAATAAAGGCCGGTTATTTTCGTGAATTCAGTTTTCATCTAAGATTTGGGTAGAATTAATAGTCATAATAATTAATGATAACAATAATAATTTATGTTTGATGTCACACAAAATCGAATACTTATAAGCGAAAACCGACAGACTGGTCGAAGAAGCAGCCAACGAAGACAGGACTCCAGGTGAACATAGACAAGACGGAGGTTATGAAAATAACCAGCCAAAAACAACAACAGCAGCAACATTCAGCGCCAATCACCATCAACGGGAGAGATTTGAAAGAGGTTACTTCATTCACTTATCTAGGGAGCATTGTCTGAACTACAGGAAGTCGGAACGGACGAGGATGTCACATCGAGCGAGAATCGGGAAGGCGAGAAACACATTCATCGACCTGAAGCCAATCTGGAAATCTTCGTCACTTACCATCACCAACAAAATTCGGATTTTCAATACAAACGTCAAGTCAGTTCTTCTATACGGATCAGAAACTTGGTGGGTCACAAAGAATATATCCAAAAGGTTGCAGACCTTTATTAACAACTGTCTTCGCTGGATCTATACTGAAGATCAGATGGCCGGGCCGGAAAGAATCACCAACAAGGAATTATGGGAAGAAACAAAACAAGAACCAATCGCCCAACAAATATGCAGGAGGAAGTGGAGATGGATCGGACACTCGCTGAGGAGACCGCTGGGTGACATCGCACGTCAAGCCCTCGAGTGGAACCCGAAAGGGAAGCGGCGTGTGGGACGTCCAAGGGTGACATGGAGGAGATCGTGTGAAGGGGAGTTGAAAGAATATGGACTAACATGGATGCAGGTGAAAAGTACAGCAGAAGACAGAAGCAAATGGAGACGTGCAGTTGAGGCCCTATGTTCCACTAGGAACCCAAGGGAGCAATAATAATAATTATCCCTTCTTATTTACATATTAGTGTCATTTTTCTGGATGTTACCAGTCAGTCGTAACACGAGATCCTAAATATAGAGCTTTTATTTAAGTGACTTGTCAGTACTTCATGTGATGCAATACTGTTGGACTTGAGGAATTTAATAATACCTTGTGTTATTTTTCTCCGTCGCCGTGAAATGCGCAATGATAGATTGAAAACTAATTAAAAATCTTCATGAGTACGTTTGGAAACCCATAAAAATGAGTGAATGGTTAAAACAAAGAGAAATGGAGAGTTTTCTGTTTTGTTCTTTATTTTTTTCACTTGAATGATATCGGTTTGGTTTGTTATCCTGCATAGTTTTTATGTTTTACTATAGACTCTGTATTGGCTATATTTTTCCTTATTTTCTCTACAGAATTGTAATACCATCACGCATTATTTCTTTAATGAACAATGCTGAGGAAATCTGTGTCGATTCGAAACTGACGGATGATACGATCAAACTAAATATTGTAAATTGTCTTCAACTTGCAAATATGTGCGTGTAATGTTTTCTTTTTTATATATTGGGATGATAAATGTCACACTTAATAATTTTTCTCTTATCAGTATTCATATACGTGTCAACTCATTTGTTGCAGTATCTAGGATCATACAATAAATTGATCAGTAATTTATAACCAGTAACATGTGTCTAGACTTTAGTGCTAACAGATTTCTACCAGTCAAATTTACAATGTAATTATCAAACTAGATGACTTGCCATCATCGAGCACTTTGAATTGATTATATCTGGATTTAGGAAAAGAAATCGATTTCAATAATTTTGTAAAAGAATAGTGTATTTTTGATTTTAGAGTTCTAAAGGTAACTGGTCCGAAACGTCCAAACTGTCAGTGACGTTATCAGCTATTGATCTTAGAGATGCAGATCACTTGATTGAGAGGGATTCTAGAGATTCTGTGGAATTCGTGATTAAGACTCAGTTGTAATGATTCCCTATCATTATAGCTCTGCAATTCATTCTGATTCACCTATTACCCGTCTGTGTAACTGTTTATTTGTCTGTAAGATTTGAAATGGTGCTTGAAGCTACTATAACCATCGTTTTGCCGTTTCTTTTCATTTTAATATGAATTTCATCAGACGAAATTACGATAACAACTAAAAAGTTCGCTATACTGGTAAATAAATTAGTGTTTCGGACAATAGTTAACACTTACAGTAAAAAGAATTCAAGAATTATTATGAATGTTTTTTCCGAAGCGCTTTAATCTAATTAATATTTAATACAATTTGGTTTTCACGTTTTTACCTAAATACTAACTTCTTAGTGGAATGTTGTGGAGACAATCATTTAGCTTTTTTGACTTGAATATGTATGGACTGATTGATAGTTAAGGCACATTACCAAACCCTTCGGAAAAATATTGGATTGTAAGTAGACTAGAATTTGGATAGCCTAGCAACTGATGTGCGTATATACAGTTGAATAGCGGGGTAGAAAGCCATCGTCACTCGTCCTATGCTTGACTCACGCTTTGGATACGGTTTTGTTATCCACCATCTTGCCAACATTCTATCAAAGCAAGTAATTTTGTCAAACCTTTTTGTTAAACGTTATGGTTTAATACAATTTCATTATCTGACTAAATATGAAGTTATAAACTGGGTTGGTAAAATGCTAAGTTCTTACTCACTTATACTTAAAATCATCTGTCCACATATTATTCCATTAGGCAAGTCAGCTGCATTCAGGAGGCTTCTCATTCATGTCTATAATATGACTTTTAAAGCTTATTCAACGATTACAGTAAAGTACAGTGTGTGCTCACTTGATTCGTGTAGCTTTCAAAGAGTGACTTTATTAAAAGTTAGGGTCGAATGATATTGCAGTATGAGGATTAGCTCGTTGAAGGAGAACCATCAGTTCTCTAAGTATGGTTGCTAAAGCTACTAACTTCTAAGGGTTCCCATTGTATTTTGTCATTTAGATTCCTTTTCGTTAGGTCGACTAGGCACATGGTATTGTCTTGGTTAGATAAAATTCAGTTTCCACTTTTTTGGCACTTCTAAGTGATATTGGGTTTTCTGAAGATTATCTGTACACTTAGTAATTATTTGTATATTAAAATGCATAATTTCCTACATTTACATTTTGCTAATATATATATATATATATATATATATATATATATATATTACAGTCTTTGTAATCTAGAGTTGTTTCGCTTTACATTTTCCCCAGTTATTTAGCCTGTGCTATTCAGATACGTTTGAGTTCAGTTAGACATCCAGCAGCGTCGTTACAACTTCATGCTCCTAATGATGTTGTAGCATCTGGAAGTGATTCAGAGAATCATCCATCAAAGTTGTTAATTATCAGTTCATTATTAGTCAGTTTTGGTGTGCATCAACTAAATCAAGGTTATTACATACAACGTAATATGGATAGTAATAATAAACAATCTCCAATATTATCCTCTTTATCAAATTCATCTACACACCAAATAAAATATAATGGATTGAGTCCAGATGAATTATTTTGTTTATCTGAGTCAATATTAAAACAAGCTTTACAATTATTGGATAATGTATCAAATATATATGAAGAGTTTTTAAATGAATTATTAAAAGATAAGAGTCTACTTGGTCCGGGTGTTACAACACCAGATGATGAAGTCGATGAACGCGATACTCGTGATCGATTAGCCTTAATTAGAAGAATTCGTTCACGTGCATGGTCTGCATTGGCTGGAGTTTATTCAACTAGTGAAGGTAGTTTGAAGGCATATTCTGCTAAATTTTTTCTTGTATAAACTTGCAACTCATCAACCAGTTGCATATGACTAGGTTGTTTTTTTATTACTTATGATGCTTTTATACAAGTAATTACAAATAGTTAATGTTTTACCGAAGAAGTTGTGGATTTTTTGCATTGTATGTTCTTCCTCCTAATCAGGATGTGATGAGTTTGTAACCTTGTGCAGATTCCTCCATTCTTTTGAAAAGTTGCTGGTGCCGATTGATGTATATGATGATAAATAATTTGTGTCTTGTTCAGTTATTCTACTTCGCTGCCTTTTATACTGTATATAATGACCTAATTCTTGTTTATCTCTAATACACTGTAATAGTTTCTGGGTGTGTATTTTTCATTTGAAACATTTTTAATGTAGGTATAGATTAAATAATTGGATCAGATGGGTAAAATAATACGTGTTCAGATTGGAACTAGTAGGTAATAAAACAAATCATAGTAACCTGAAAGAAATCTGATATCAGATAAATAATAAAATCATTTAGAGAGCCACTGGAAAACTTGGGAGTACTGGGCAGCTGTTTCGTCTTAGTTTGGGACTCTCCATCAGCACGCACCCACCGGGGTTCGAACCCAGGACCTTCTGGTTACAAGGCGAGCTCGTAGACCATTTAGCTACTGGGATCCGATCCAATGGTTCTTGAATCCCAACTTCTGCCAATTCACGACACAGCGCGACCACTTCGCAATGTCTTCTTCGATGAGTTACTGCCTCATCTTTGACCTGCTGTACCCTACTGGTCACGGCTTCCCACTAGAACCCCAGGTTAACTGCCTGGAAAGGGCCAGTTGCTAGTGAGCATCAGATCAACTTTCAAGTATTGGTTTTGTAGGGATTTTGTTTGATTGTATGGAGGGCTGATGTCAGCTCATGATGAAATCCTCCATACAATTAAACGAAATCCCTACAAAACCAAGACTTGAAAATAAAGAAATCATGAAAATAATAATACTATTCTTTACTCGTTCTCTAATCCCATAAATGCAATGAATGTTTCATTTAAGAATAAATAGGAAATGTATCCAAGGTAGTTGACATTTGCTTTTAATGCAACATTTAGGTATTTGAAGTGACATAAGAAATGATCAGGAACATACTACTTGTCGAACTCTCCTAAAACAAAAGTGTGCGTGTGTATATAAAACTTTATCTTGATTAACGTTTAAAGTGTGATAATGTATGACATAGGCCATCCATATGAATGCCTTCTTTATAAAAATTCATGTTTAATGTTTACTTTTGTTTTTGTATATTGATTTCAGAGAACTTGAATTCGGAAATCACCTATTGTCTCTGTCAAGCATTACTCTTTAATCCAGATGTATGTATGACATTATCTTTTTTTGTGGTATTATTACTATTCATTTCTCATCGTAATCCTTACACTAATTAGTTTAATCGCTTCGAGTCCCGTTGCGACGCATATTTTCACCTTTAGCCACTAATATTACACCTATGCTGTAATTTTGCTCAGCATGTTAGCACAGTATAGTTAAACTTATTCTATTCAACTACTTATTCATTTTTCTGCTTTAAGTCAGTAGCAGAATCATCTTTTAATTGCCCAAATTGTAGTAAAATGCACAAGTTTAATCCGATGGTTAAAATTAGAATGTCTGAATCGGCATCCAAATCGTGAAGCTATATGTCGGTTTCTGACTCAACATTGTGTTTTCTCTTTCGAATACAAGGAGTAGTATTCAGAGCGCTGATATGCAAACTGATTATTAAGATTGTGAATCTTATAATATTGGCATGTCAGGGATTTATATCCAAATTAAGAATTCATACATACATTATTATGAGTATCTTGATAAAAACTAGTGCTAGTTTAGACTGCGCTTTAACTCTAGTTATCATTTGTTAGGTCAATGTACTTGAACTCCAGTGGTTTTGAAATAAAAATTTCTCCACACACAGTGTTATTGTTTTTTAAATGATCGCTAATTATTTTATTAACGATTTCTTTCTACCATCAGTCCAGGACAGAAAATTATGTTTCGCTTGTGTAGGCCGTAGACAACATATAAATAATATTAGATGGTTGGAGGCAATCAGCAGAAAGCATTAGACCTAGCTTTCGTGCTAGTCGCTGACGTGTACCAGCTAGCGCGAGACCTACACCCGAAACTTCCAGATGATTGCCAAAGAAAGGACTAGGCGTATTACACCATTATAGATAAGATTTTATTTTGATAAATCACACAGTATTGTGCAGTAATATTGACTGATGACGTTTCGATCACAAACTACTGCTCATAATCATATCAAGTTACTCACACAACTTATTCCTTCATTTATATACATGTGTGGAATCGATTAGATTTTGGCATAAAAATCAATATGGGATAATGTACATTCAGAAATAATAATATGAGTATTATTGATCAATTACAGTGCGATGGGAAATAAGACGAATGTTTTTATAGTCAAAATAAGTAACTCGTCAGAATGTTATGATGCACTTGAATTGAAACAAAATTTTAAGATTATTTCAATTCAAACACATCACAACAATCTAACAAGTTACTTATTCTGACTATAAAAACATTCGTCTTATTTCCCATCGCACTGTAATTGATCAATAATACTCATATTATTATTTCTGAATGTACATTATCCCATATTGATTTTTATGCCAAAATCTAATCGATTCCACACATGTATATAAATGAAGGAATAAGTTGTGTGAGTAACTTGATATGATTATGAGCAATAGTTTGTGATCGAAACGTCATCAGTCAATATTACTGTACAATAACTGTGTGATTTATCAAAATAAAATCTTATCCACAATGGAGTTTTGCTCTACCGCAGTGCCCAACTTTTATACTTGTAGGCATATTCCACTTGTTAACTAGTGTCCAACCAAAGCATCCAGTACAGTCCTACAGGAGATCAATCGCAAACTAAACGTCTCTGACTGCAGCACTGGTTGACGTGAGTTCGATTTTTAGAAGGGACATAAGTTCCTTCAAAGTAGCAGATGCGCCTTGCTATTGAGTGCTAACTAACACGAAACGTAGGCCGAAGGCTTCTTGCCAACTGTCTCCAACCATCGAATATCATCAAATCAATGTGCATCGTGATGGTGAGCCACTTGGGATGACTGCCACATAACAAACTTGACTGGTGTGATTCATTCTGCAATCAACAAGGGATTAGACACCTTACAGTAGTTACTAGCTAGTATCAAATTAAAATACAAATAATATATTCTGACCTAAATTACTTTTTTCATGTGGAAGAGAAATACCGTACACTTCTGTGTTTAGCTATATCAATTACCTAAGTCGTTTTTGTTCAGATGGTTTACTCTTCCGGTTTCACTGTTCTTATATTGATTCTGTGGAATAAATAGCCAATGAATGGAAAAATCATATTACACCATAAATAGTGTACTTCATCCCATGCTCTTTTTACTTTCCACTGGTTCTCTGACTGATATCGTTTCTTGACTAAATTTATACTTCAATGAATAAAATTTGTTTCGTCATGCTTTTTTCTCCTTCCTCTACATTGAGTATATTGGTCAGGTTTTCTGAACTGTAATAATATAGCACACCTACATGGAGATAGTTCATCTAATCTACATGACTGAAAATTAAGAGATGAAATTATCTGTCTAATGAAAAGTCATTACCACTCCTAGCACTCTCATTTAGACTGAAAAAAAGCGATGAGATTTATGCCAGCATAGGTAACATTCATTATTTGACAAAATGCAGTAGTTTGTTAACGTGGTAAAAAAAAATTAATTTTGTAATTTTTTCTATTTCGTATTTTAGAATACTACTGTCATGATTAATCTGGCTATGCATCAAATGAAACAAGGTCAAACTGAAGTAATGCATATATTTCTTGCTTTAATTTATTAAGTGATTAAGTAATAATAATGAAGTCATTTGGTTGACGGTGGCTGCCAGTGGAATCTAAGCTGCGCATTTCTTCCTATTTGGGACTTGTCATTTGAATGTACCTACTTCTCCTGTGAGTGATAGTGTTCCCATTAAGACTGGAACTCTGCACACATCGTTTCAGACTCCAAAGCGTTATCCACTCGGTCACGAAGTCTACTTCTTATGCGAAATGTCCACTCTAGATTCCACTGCCAGTCACTATCAACCAAATGATATTGTGTTAACCATCAGACACCGTCTTCATTGGGAGCCGAGGTGTCAGCGAAAATTGGGTATTTCAGTCTTATATAAATCCATCAACGGGAAATTCAAATTAGCCTATGAAATAACCATTAACAATTAACTCCGTAAACTTGAATGGGTTCAGTGATTTTAATTCTTTGACTAACTTCTGAAAGAAGTTAAAATTTATGAATGACTGGGTTCTAGTCCATTGGTTTAATAGTAGTCGTGCCTGTCCCTTAATCTGAAAATTAGCTATATATGTATGTATATGCGATTGTACAGCTTGAGAATGATATCGTTGAAAAGAGCAACTTTTCGTTGATCGCCTTTTCTTTTATGTGACTTAATGGGAATTTTTAGGTTGGTAACAAATATGTTTGTGTAGATTTCGTGATGACTCTTTCTCTAAATTTGTCCTTTCAGTTTGTATAAAAGTGCTCATGTTTATCAATAAATCATTAGTCACCATCATTGTAACGCATGTGATAAATAAAAATATCGAATTATTGTTTTCTCTCCTGTTTTTCTATGCATATATAACATAAGCTTGCTGTCAACTTGGTAGCACAAGCCAAAGCTATTGATCCAGATAACTTCAGAGTCTGGCTATTTTCTGCCCAATTGACTGCTTTAATGTCTGGCAGTCCATCTGTTGGTCCAGGTTTACTCGTCAATACTGAAGTACTAGGCCATCTAATACAGGCTGCATTTACAGGTTCAAATGTAAGTTCGTTTGCATTATTGATTCTTTTCTTTAACTTGCTTCTCTTAAACACTGTGGGATATTCCCGATGTCCAGTGTTTTCGCTGGTTTTCAGTGATTCTCCAGCTGATGTTGGTTCATGACCAAACTTACATCGATATCCAAGCTCCTACAAAATGCATTATATGTGAATTACAATAGACAATAGTAATTAGTCTTCCTGTCAGTATGTGTCAAAGTTTGGCGGTAAATGGAAATACTAAAGTGCGATAATATTGGTGTAATTGATTGTAAGTTATAAATTGATGATTAGATCTATGAATGAATAAATAAAGTTCAAGAAATATACGTAAATGTATGCTAGGATGATTTTTATAATGGAGGCTTTAGCATTGCATAACACGAAGCCGGAACTGTTTATGATCTTAATTTCATCAAGTGTTTCAAAAAACTCTTTAATTCTTCCTATGTTCTTTCATTTTGTTTTGTTTTATTTCACTTTACGAAACTTCACTCATCTTATCTTCCTGTCTTATTGCGTTTGGCCATGACAAATTCATATTTTCGAACTTACTTAATTCTTCCTATCAATAAAAGACAAGGACCAGGCAACAGATCGTTTATTTAGGAAATCAACACATATTTATAGATTTTCACGTACATTATTATAGATTATTGTTATCAGAAAAACAGTCTTCTGATTGTTTGTTTCTCACAAAAAGTTAACCTTGCATCTTTTTGTGACTGTTTCTTGAACGTCAGATCATCTATCTGCTAACTGTATCAGCCGACGCAAAGTCTCTGTTCTTATTTTGCTCACTACCAATATTTGGGACATAAACATTGAGGTAAATTAATGTCTACCAATTTGGCTAGCCACATTAGTACACATACCTTGGTTTCAAAACAAATTTTACCAAGGAAGATCTATTGTGATAACGAATTGTTTTTGAACGCATAAAAGTGGTTTAAATTTCCTAATTGCCAGCTAGGGTTTCCACAAACTTTAGGATACGCCTTTCCCTAAACACCTTTTATAGATAGGTTTGAAAAAGACGTAAACATCAATTTCATGTCCTGTCTCTATAAAATGTTTCGCATTAGAGGAGCTAGGTCCCTTGTTCTCACCATTAACAGGTTCTGAGGATTCCGTTTGCTTAGAAGCCATTTAGGAATATGGTATGAAGCCAGGCCTTACTTGCAGAGATCGAGGGGTCCACGTTATATGTGTCCACACATACATTCTAATTGGCAAATACAGTGGGATGTGATATAAATTTTCGCATGTTCTAAGGGCTGAGATGGATATATCGGCATTACATTCTCAATTATTATAATCTTAGCTCCACAAAAAGTCATTTTAACCGCAGCCTCCAGTCGCTGTCGAATTATCAAGCTACTATGATCACAATCATAGGATAGCTTGATATATGTTTTTCTTAGCAGTGAGTTGGAGAGTGGGTTTTAGTGTTCTGACAAGTCTGTGTGTGATCAGATTGTTCGAAATGTGTTTCGGAAATACATTACCTGATTCAAACAAGTTACGTCTTCTTATTGCTTTGTCTAAACACGCAACAGACCTACTTGTCATTGTCTATTGTAATTTATGGGTACATATGATTGTACAGCTATGGAAATGAAATCACTGAAAAAGAATTTTTTTTCGTTGAAATCGTAGTTTTATTTTAAAAAAGTCAGACAGAAAATGAAGCTTTTAGAATATTCAACGTACAGAATATAACAAGATTATTTCGTTTTCATGTAGCGATTACTATACATCTCCTCCTGGTGAAAATATGCATAAGTAAATAGTATGTAATCAGTCTCTTACCGTCAACGTGAAGGTATTTTGTTTTATTTTACTTACCTACAGACAACACTTCTGTATTCCTTTCAGGTTGTCCAGTCTCCTAAGTCAACTCTTCCCCATGTCTTAATGAATATCCAGTGAATGATAAATCGGTGATAACTTCGAAATGAAATGTATGGTTATTTTCATTTTCTGAGGCATTAAGGTTTCGTAACTATTCGTATGATTTTTATTAAATCAGACTTATTCACATTTTTCTTTTTTCTCTCTATGCTTAACAATTGGTTTATCACTAGTACCGAGTTGCTTCACAGCTCACACTCCATCTAATGCCTATTATAATTAAATACTCTCACTGTAATTTCCTCTCTGATCCATCACTGCCATCATCAACTTCATATTTATCAAAACAAGTGAATACATCAGAATTAATACAAGCATTTGATAAACGAGCACATTTACGCCTGTCTATTAATGTTGCTATAGAATGCTTAAATCGTGCTATAGGTAAGTAAAAGGAACCTATACTTAGTTGATTTTATTCTTTATTTTTTCCCTTATAATTGAAAAAAACCCCGGCTATACTCCCCATATAACTGACACCAAGAGACGGGCTTGGCAGCATTAGCCGGGAAAGAAGATTCTGTTGAGCTTGACTGTAGTCTGACTTCGTAAAGAAACATGATAGATGTAGAATAGGTGAAAGGTGGGTGCTTTGGTGCCTGGTTTCGGTATAATATTATTGCCCTCAGTGTTTCTTTACTTATTCAGTGAAACGGAAACGAAATGGTATTTTGGTATAAAGCACACACTGGTGTACGTGGTCTAAGGTGTGTGTTTTGGTTTCACGTCTGATGAGTCGTAGTGCAGATTACTGAGTTTAAGTCGTGAAGTGATATGCAACTCGTTCTGGCGGCTATGTTTGGCGTCGAGTTTGACTCGGAGATGACATCCGCCAAATGGTAACACAGCTATTCTATGGTAACTTCAACCAGGACAGAAACCTTACAGAGCTTACTTGATTTGGCTCTGTTGTATTAGTGTGACGAAGAAATTTGTCATAACACAAGTTTGTCGTCTTAGGTTAATTGTTAATTTGTCATAGACATCAACAGTAAATGAAACCGATGTAAGTGGCCTGCTTAAATCACTGGGCTAACTAAATTTTCTACCCACCTAAATGTATTGTGTTTACCACATTTCATATTGTTTCAATCATGAGGTTATGTCTAAGAGTAGCAAAGTAGTATACTCAGGCACATTTTCAAATATGTGTCAACCTACAGTTACGAATTTCTGACTAAAATGGAGGAGACTGTTGTGGATTATTGCTGCCTATCTCCGATAAAACAACATTTCAGTTGATATGTTATCGTTTATTATGTTACTTAAAGATTCTGTACATTGGAATAAGTACCCTGCTAAGAATTCTGTATTGTGTATAAATGCGAATTTCAGAATAAAGCTATTATTACTGCCATCTTTATTACCAATCTGTAATCAGTGAATCAGTAGTTGATAGATTATCTTTGGATTAGGCTCAATGCCATATGATGACAATTATTGTTAATCATTTATATTAGTGAACCGTAACCCTAAGAATTGTGTGTATACAATAATTTAACCAGACAACTTACGGCATCATCTGTGTTCTTTCTACTTTGTATATTTACATTCGAGTTTTCTTTTAACTCTTCGGCTGCCCTGGTTTGATACCGCTTGGCATCATTATCATTCGGCTGAATAGAACAAACTAAACAACTTTTCGCTTTCTAGCTACTGAGGTGTATTGGTTAAGAGACTGTAATCATCCAGTCAGTTATTTATATGTTTCTCACTATAATGAAGTTGGTACACAAGTGAATGTCATTTATCAAAACTTGGTTCTACATTTATGACGTAATACACCTCGTTTTTAAAAGTGAATATGATTTTATCGTATAAATTTAGTTTATTGATTTTTTTTTCCACTGGAATTTCAGCTTTTCAACCTGATAACATTCGTTTATGGCACAATCGAGGCATTTTACTTCAGTTGACTGGATACTCTGTTCCAGCTAAATATTGTCTTAAAAAGTAAATTATATTTCTTACAAATAGTATTTTACCTTATAAGAACATAATCGGATTATGGTAACTTGTCAACTTATTAATTTATAGAGTACTAACCCGTTTTTTAATACTTATCATTCCCACAATGAACCATAGATCAAAGTGCCATTCTACGTACAGGGGGGTTTAGGTAATCAGTCAGACAGGACTTATTTCTAATTGCATGGGGTTGGTGGGTTGCCGTTCCGTTTCACTACTGTTAACCATTTCACTGTTTAGGTTCCGAATGACCAAGTGTTCTCTGTAGTCCTAGCGATGCTGGGGACATCACTCGTACCTAATTCCCATGAAACTTCATGAACTCTCTACAACATCAACCAAATTCCAGTACTGGTCCAACAACGCCGCCTTCGGTGGTTTGGCCATGTTCTGCGCCGACCAGATGACGATCTGGTTAGATCAGTTCTAAATCCCTCGCCATTTCCATCTTGGCGATGTCGCAGGGGTGGACAGCTGAAAACATGGCTTGGTACAGTCAAGGCTGATATGGAGTGCCTGGGGCTACAAACCGTCTACGGACTCCGTCTGTGGAACAAGAATTGGATAACCCTGTCGCAAAACCTTGCATCAGATCGCCGCGCCTGGGTAGTGATGCTTCGAGATGTTCATGAAGCCGGCTCATCCTCCCGTAGGAGATAGCCGAAGTAAAGTAAGTAAGTAGTCTTGATGTCAGCAGTTGTAATAGAAAAATTTCGACACTTTACTGGTTTGGTTTCATGAACCAGTCAAACTGACTGCAGTGAAACACACGCGTTTATAATAGTAAATCTGATTGCTAAATACATAGTTTATGGTTTTATCGCTGAAACCCAACCATATTCTAGCCAATTTTATACCCTCTTTACAATCATCTCAAATATTCAATAATAAATTTTCATTGGTCTATGGATCTATTCTTTTTTTGTTTCCTTTTAGAGCTGTAGCACTACTTAATCGACAAAAGTCTCTTTATCATCAAGGTACTTCAAATGAATTGGCTTTCTATAGTCTTGTATTGTCTCAGTACTTTCTTATCACATATATATGGTAAGCTCAAATATTTCTTCACTAAAAATTACTTAAACCTAATTCATAGTAGAAAAAAGTGGTTGGTTTCGATATCGTGGGTTTATATACACAAATACAAATTCCTCGGTCACATTAACTCAAAGGTAGATGTAATTCAATTCACTTATCGGAAAGTCAACAGAAGGAGCTTCCAATGGTAGATTTTAGCATAAAAAGGAAAGAATATGAGATGTAAAACATTGGTATTAACATAAAACCCACACTTCTCGATTGATATTTGGATTTGTTCATGTCATCCGATGTCGGTAAAAAAAGATTGGTGAAATGTCTAAGGGATAGGGCACAAACAGTAAATGGTACCAAGGAAAATCTAAGACTTGAAGTAAGGCATATAAGAGAAGCTGTAAAACTTAATAATTATTCTGTTAAATTAATAAAAAAGTATGCAGGAAAATGCTAAAGTAAAGTTAACAAGGTGATAATTATAATGACTACATGCATGACAACCATACACAGAATGATAGCAATACCAACCATAAGGAATTCAAATCATCAGTAGTACTGTAACAACAGAAAGCAAGAGTCAGGCAACAGATCGTTTATTTAGGAAATCAACACATATTTATAGATTTTCACGTACATTATTATAGATTATTGTTATCAGAAAAACATAGTCTTCTGATTGTTTGTTCCTCACAGAAAGTTAACCTTGCATCTCTTTGTGACTGTTTCTTGAACGTCAGATCATCTATTTGCTAATTGCATCCGCCTACACAACGTCTGCTGTGATTGGTTGTTGAGTCAGTCTTTGTTCATGTTATTCACACGATCAGTATTTGGGAAGTAAACATTGAGGTAAATTACTGTCTACCAACTTTAGCTAACAGCCAGATCTCATCACAGTACTACTATACGAAGGGACCACGGAAATCTTACGTAAAATTCTTAACAACACAGGAATAAAAGTTGCATTGAAATCCACATACCCACATAGAAAAAACTTTCTCAGTTAAAGGATACTGTTGAGCGCATTAATCAAAACGATTCTGTTTACCTAATACCCTGCGATGATCGGCTCAAAAGGACGTCTTCACTGCAAACATAAGGAAAAGGACGGAGACACAAATCAACACTAGCGAAGAGACCAGCGTTGAAAAACACTGGAACAACCCGAAAGCGGTGTGGAGTCAAACCTGCATGGAAGTTCTATGTAGAAAGAAGAGACAGGACAAACAGTGACTCACTACGGACACGTGGAGACTAATAGTAGAGAGAAGGATGGCGAAATAAGAGATTATCCAGTGCATCGACGAGCAACAAAAACAGGAGTTGAATGCAAGCTACAATACACTGAACAAAAGAGTAAAGAAAAGCGCCAGGAAAGACAAAGGAAAATATGAAGCTATGGCAAGTGAAGCAGAGCAAGCTGCAGTGCAGGCAAAGGAGACCTCGCATCACTCTACCAAACAACTAGGTTCCTATCGGGGAAACGCTTAACGCAAATGAAGCCAGTGAAGGATGACAATGGAAAGCCAATCACCAAATAGGTGGAGCAAAGGAAACACTGGGCTGATCTCTCAAAAAGACTTCGAAATCGACCGCCACCTACGACGCGCCCAGTAATATCAACAGCGGGAGCAGAACTACCGGTGTACATCAACCCTCGGACGAGGACAGAAATCCTGAGGGCAATCAAGATGCTAAAAGCTGGAAAAGCAGCAGGACCAGACGGAATCCCAGCAGAGGCATTGAAAATGAACCCACAGACATCAGCCGACTTGATGACACCACTACTGGAGAAGGTGTGGAAAGAGAGCAAGTTACCTGCGGACTGGAAGAAAGACTACCTATTGAAACTGCCAAAGAAAGGGGACTTAAGTCAATGTAAGAACTGGTATGGTATTCTGCTCCTGTCCATCCTAAGCAAAATACTAAGCTGCATCATCCTGGAGAGAATCAAACACGCCAACCTGGATGAAAAACTTCGCCCGGAACAGGCTGGATTCAGGAGAAACAAGTGATGCATCGATCAAATCGCCACACTACGAATCATCATTGAACAGAGCTTGGAATGGCAGTAAGCTCCCTATTTCAACTTCATTGACCTTGAAAAAGTCTTCGATAGCGTTGATCGAGAGGTGATTTGGAAACTACTTCGCTACTACGGGGTTCCGCCAACAATACATCTCATGCAACAGTTGTACGACAATGCTGCATGCCAAGTAATCCACAACGGGAAACTCACGGAATCCTTCGAAGTGAAGACGGGAGTAAGACAAGGCTGGCTGCCTACTGTGTCCAATGATTTTCCTGATTTGTAGCGGTAGACTGGATAATGTGACGGATAGCGGGCTGCGAGGAAGCAGGCATAAAATGGACCCGCACAAAAATCTTGGAGGATCTGGAGTTCGCCGATGATATATGTCTGATTTGCCACAAACCGGAAGATATGCAAGTGAAAAGCAACAAGTTGGCGGAAGAAGAATCAAAGATAGGTCTTCAGGTGAACATAGAGAAGGTGGACACGAGGTGATGAAGATTCCTGGCCGACAGCAACAGCACAACAACAACAACAGACAACAATCAGCATAGTGACAGAAATCCGGAAGAAGCAACCTCCTCTACCTACCAGGGAAGCATCGTTTCGACTACAGGCTAACGGAACTGACGAGGATATCGGAGCAAGGCAAGCTTTCATTTCTCTCACGTCTGTGTGGAGGTCAACAGCAATCAGAATAGAAAACAAGATCCGGATTTTCAACTCCAATGTGAAGTCAGTGCTACTATACGGATCAGAGACCTGGCGCGGCGTCACGAACAAAATACAGACCTTCATCAACAGCTTTCTTCGCTCAAGATCAGATGACCAGAAAAGATTAGCAACAGGGATCTCTGGAAATGAGCTAATCAACCAGGAACCGATTGTGCAACAAATATCCAGGAAGAGATGGAGGTGAATTGGCCATACTCTGAGGAAACCATCAAGTGATATCACACGCCAGGCCATCACTTGAGTGGAACTGGAACCCGAACGGAAAGCGGCGAGGGTGACATGGAGGAGGTCATGTGACGAAGAGATGAAAGCATGTGGGCAGACGTGAAGCAAGATGAAAACGTTGGCAGAGGACCGAACGCAATGGAGACGTCCGACTGAAGCCCTATGTTCCTCTAGGAATTAAGGGAAACAATAACATTAATAATAATACCTTGCAATAATTATCAGATCAAATATGTAGTTCAAGGTAGTACAATGGGGTGAATCAGATTAGCAGAGCATAAAAATATAGCAAAATCTAGATTAGTTAACCCAAATGAGTTAAGAAATCTGGAGACTTGCTCAGTTATAGCCCTACGTGCAATTACGCTCAACCACACAATAGGGTGGGAGATAATATGACAGCCCTAAAGTCTAATATAATAGAGTGGAGGGAGACATTGATAACGGAGGTCTTATTTATCAGATCAGCTGAAAATACGTTTAATAGAAAAGGTTCAACACCTATCCCGGACATCTTGAAAATTCTACTGCCCCTTCGACAAATGAGAAAACATAAAGAAAACTATAGAACTGAAGTCTCGAAGTTGTGTAATTACAACTGGTATGTGTATAAGCAAGAAATTTAATGTGCTTTTAGAAAGCTGATATAATAATACACTTTGTATTGATTACTTCACTTAGTGTTCAATTGGGCTGTCTGTACTACTGTTTGCCTTACCACACAATCATTCTTTTGACTGTACGCCTTACTACATGCATATATAAAATGCGGTTTTTGTACATTATGTAGAACTTTTGTATTGTCCACTTTCGGTGTCTCTGTCTGTCTGATAATTATTAACTTGAATGCTTTGTACAGTCCACTATTACTGTGGAATCGGAAAGCAATTTTTCGAAAAGCGACAGCCAAAAAGTCATTTTAATATTCTGACACTACAATTGTGACGCATTCACTTAGATCTTCAAGAAGGGTTATTATTCATCGTCATTTTGACCTGTCCACCTTTTAAGATTTGAAGTGATTGACTGCTGTCATAACTTTTTTCTTCCACTGTTTGTCACGTTAAATGCAATTTATTGTGGTTTGGAATGATGAATGTTCTTTCAAGTTAATATTTTAATTGGCTGATTTTTTTTCACATATATTTGTATACATACAAATGGTCCTATTAGTGGTCAACCTGATTGGCAAACAGCTGACCAACTTCTCACTTTAACAAAAAATCCAAATTCTACATTCTGTCACAGTTTGCCTGAAGCTTGTGCTAAAGCTATTATTTACTTAATACATCCAATGAGAGCAGTTCAACGGGATTTATCTATGAAATGTAAGTTTTGAATAGATTCAGTTGTTTTTGTTTTTCTGTTGTTTGTTTTCTTTTCCTTACCAACTTCATAAGGATCAATCACTCCGTAAACCATCTCAAATATACTTAAATTTTGTAGACGATATGCATCTATTGAGCGAAGACCGTTAATTTGATATTAAAATCTTAATATAAATGGAAATTTAATAGTATGTAGTATGTGTTTCCCATTGTATGTTCACTTCAATTTTACATCTGCGAAAGAGATATTCTCAATGCATACTATCTGCTAATAATTTTCAATCTGGGATATCAGTATGATGTAAAAATGATCTTCAAGTCGAATCAAATGTTTGAAAATCATTTATTTAGTTTCATAGATACTTTTAGAAGTATATGATAATAATTTCTATTTGTTCTGTTAAACTTGTTGTTCCCTGAGCTCTGCTGTCATGCAAAAATAATTCTCTTTCTGTTTCAAATAACTCAGCAAAAAATCAACTTCTAAGGTATGGACAGGCGAGAGATAGAAACCGCCTACACACTTTGAAAACCACATGAGGCTCTCTTGATCATGACCCACCTTTACCTTTGTCACCGTGATCATTTTGCTTTCCTCGTACTGTTAATACTATTTATTTGACAGGTGTGTCCCTGACTCTGTGGCCGGTAACAGTGAATAGTGTCGGAAAGATACTCGACAGTTTCCTAAATAACCGCCACCAACTTCATATAGAAGCATTTAAGATCCGAGACCTTTGACAAATCGGACAATAGCGATCACTAGCCAAAATACTGACATCGCCAGCTATAGATGTATCTTGTGTTTTGGAGACCAACAGGATGAATCTGCGCAGTTCGCCTTAAGGGTGTCAGGAGATTCTTCACCTGCTTCTTGAGGACAAGTAAGTGTAGGAAGAGCATTGGGTGATAGGGCAGAAAAGTCCATTTTGGACTGAATCCCAGTAGATAGTGTTATGTGTCCGTTAGAAGAAGCAAGGACTGCGTTACTTGCCGATGTCATTTCTCACTCTCTGCATACTCTCCAACTGACTGCACTTCGGACGAAATAAAGGGGCACTTATACCGAACATTATATATTCTGCAAAAAGTCTCAGATATAGTAATTTTAGCAGACGACTTCATCGCCCAAGTAGAGAAGTTTTGTTTTAATGAATTATCCGAATCCAGTCATTTCAAACTGATCAATGGACAAACCTGGCATTTAGTCTACTTGGAACATAATTTTCATAATCTATCTCTAACATCTTGTACAACTTCCTTGGTAACTGTTAGGCATAAGCTGATATTAATCAACCTGATTTTTCATACATCTCCCTATTACGTGCTTCAGTGTTGCTCAGCAGGGAACTGATAAGATGCAACTTACAATTTGAACCACATGAGAAATAGTAGTTCTTTATCATGATTCATTCTATGAATAAAATATTAAAGAAGAAAGTGGGCTCGAAGTAACAGAGAAATTAGATAAATAAGTTTTAGTCCAAATTGGTGAATTTTAAGATCTACACTAAATCTGAAAATAAAATCTTTCAAAATACTCCATATCGATAGAGCCATTAAATAAGAGAAAAGATATGCTTAATATAATGGAAATCCCCATTCAGACATTTAGTACAAAACAAAAGAAAGTTTGATTAAAGAATATTCTTCTCGATGATATATATTGGTGTTTTCAAATAATATCAAGTTGTTAAGATCAATAGAATTACAGTTCAAGAAAGATGCATAGGCGATAATAAAAATACAAGTGTGACGCTGAATTGAATATCAGGTAAAATTAAGAAAAGGTATGCAACAATTAAAGATAGTTAGAACACTGATGGCCATGATAGGGAAAGCGTCTGAACGGACTTCTTTTGAACACATAACCCAGTCTTCTAAAGGTGGGCTCCGTCAACTTCAGTCATACGTAATAGATGAACTCGTAGTATGAATACGATAGACAACTTCCAGAGACTTTCCAAGACTCGATTTTGTATTCGGCATCCCACAAGACGGGTCTGTTTGTCTATCTATCACTTTGACTGCTCCCGTGGCGCCAGTTGCATCAAGCATACAACCAGGGAAGTTTTATCGTGGGATTTTCGAACATCTTGCGTGTTTAAGCGACAGGTAGACAAGGTCTTTTCGCAGCTGTATTCTAGCACATCCTGTGGACACCGAATGAACACAAAATAGAGTATTTGAAAGTTTCTGAAAGTTATCTACTGTATTCGTACTTATTTCAATTTCACCTTACAAGTTTGTCTATTACATATGGCTGAAGCCGTCGGAACCTAGCTTTAGAAGCCCGCCCACATCGTGGAAGTTGATTTTTCTGCTGCGGTACTTGAAACGGAAAACGAATTAGTTTTGCCTGACCACAGCGCCCAGCGGACAAATGCCTCAACCTGGCACCACCCACGACCTGCTTGAGTCAGTTTATAGAGTTGTTCCAGTATTAAGAACTTACCTCCATCTACAGACCACCGTGTGGGTAAGTTGTGGTGTACGACTTTTGTGGTCGACTCTTTCTAATCTCCCTTTCTAGATTAGAGAGGCGGCATAAATGAAATACCGGTCATCTGGGGGAAACACTTTACTGCTGTCACATTCCTGTTCCCCAGCAGTACGACTTCGTCCACGGAAACCAGCATAGTATTTAGCATCTAACACTACGAAAGTATCATATTTTAGTCTAATTGCTATATGAACAACATTTCCGCAGTGGTAGCGCCTACAGGAACATTAGTTCCTGTAAGTGTAGCTTTTTCGACTATTGCGGGACGCAAGTCCAACCACTACGCCCAGGTGGCAGCTATCGGCCAAGTATGTAACACATGCTCAGGCTAAGTTCACAACCTGGACTTTGCACGTTTATGCTTACTAGTGAATGGACATAAGAACAGACGGCGATGGAGCTGTTAAGCAACCACCTTGATCGAGACTCTGAGTTCCTAATCTCGGAAGAAATAGCCAAAACGTATCTGAGATGGACACCAGGACTCCTCCTGTGAAAGCCTGGCACAATATACAATTACCTGCAGATTCACCCGTATAGGCTGTTGTTGATAACCAAAAACCAAAGAGTTAGTAAACGTCAGTGGATTTCCACTACCTCATCCAAACTGATGAAAACAAAAAGACTGATTCTAGCCGTCTCTGAATATGATGAGGAGCGAAAGCTGCTCAAACGGAAACTAACAAAAAGTCTTTGCAACGACCGTGAACAGTGGTGGGCGAAAAAGGCGGAAAAGATGGAAGAGGCATAGGCGACAGGTAACACCAGACAACTATTTAGGCTTATCAGGAAAAGAGGTATCAGTAGGCAAACGGGTGCATCCATCATATATTCACCCTTCGACCGATTCTGGAGCAAACGCATACTTACTGGCATCTAGCAATTGCTATATTTCTTGACATCAAGGCGGCACTGGATTCCGTCGACTCATAAGTACTGTGGTAATGTTTGGCTGTGAAGAGAATGACGAGAAAATACATCGAACTGATCAAGGCACTCCACTTGAACTCATGCGGTCAGCAAGGTGATAACCTACAGACAGTTGTCATCTCAAGTGACAACAACCAGTGGTATCCGTCAGGTATGCCCCCATTTAATACTGTTTAACTTCTTCATAGGTGTACTAGTGGCCTTAACCCTAACTGACTTCAGCTACTCAGGGATTGACTTGTTACCAGGGAATAATCTTGTTGACTTAGAATATGCAGATGATATTGTCCTCCTAGGTGAAGACGCCGACAACATTCAGAGTCCTTTGAACACATTGAGTAGCAATCTTCGAATGTTTGGCATGCGCTTTGTTTCTGTCGAATGTGAAGTGATGTTACAGGAGTGAACTGCATTGACTCCGAGGTTAGAAATAGGGAGTGATATAGTGCGTTGACCGCTTCACTTTTTTTGGAAGTTGCATCAGCCCCAATCTACTGATTGCTGTTGAAATCCCAGCACTAATATAAAGGCTCGTGTGCAAATTTACATCAACTTTGCTGAATACGTGACATCCGGCTATCGGTCAAAGGACGTATGTACTGCGCTGCAGTTCGCTCTGTCGTTCTGTATGTATTTAAAACATGACCATTTAAACTGGAATACCTGGAGATTCCATCTGTCTGTGATGATAAGTGTCTGCGTTCTATCCCTCGTGTTAAGTGGTATAATGGGCGAGCAGTATTGAGGTTAGGCGTCAAGTTTTAGGTGGGTAGGGGAAGTCGACCGATAAGGTTGTAAAGCTACATCGATTGATGTGGTTTTGACAAGTGATGCGCATGCCTAGCCATCGCCTTCCTCCACGGGAAATGTTAACTGACATCGGATTAGGTTGGAAAGTTATTAGGGATGCAGTCAGTTTATGAAGTCTTTGACTGTTAGCCTGATTCTGAGGATACGTTGTGGTTTGCGTGCACAGGAGCTTGGACCAATCTTTGTCAGTGATATGTTCCAAAATTCTTCTCAGTGGTGCTGATACATTCACTATCTGTCTGTCTGTTTTCGACATAATAGTTTGCACCGGTGTGCGACAGTTCAAGTCGCCACACTCCATGTAGCACACAAAGCAAGAGAAGAGAGTAGAAGAAATGCATAATAGAGACAGTAAACAGAAGTGTGAGACAAAGGAATAGTAATAACGAAGAACAATATAGTTTCATTGGAAATCATAAGTCACAGGGAGTGGATGCATCTGCGTCATTGAGGACGATTTTGAGCCATGTCACCAATTGTTTCTAACCATTGGTTTTTACCGTCCCGAGGACCCCAACCCAGAAGTCTCCACCTTCCTACGTGGTTTAGACTAACTGTTGTAGATTTCATAGACTGGTGAGGCCATGTTTTGGTTTGACCACCACTAGCTCTTTTCCAGCCTGACCCTATGTCCGCTAACATTGCCCATTGTCGAGGAAGGCGATGACTAGGCATACGTAACACATGTCCTAACCATCTCAGTCGATGTAGCTTCACAGCCTCGTCGATTGATTTCCCCTCCTTACCTAGTACTCAACCTACACCTAACCTCAATATTGCTCACCTTATTATGCCACTTCACACGGGAGATAGAGCGCGATACATTTACTGATTGTAATTCCCCAGGTTAATTAATTCCTGTAGATTTTTCCTTATAAGTATTGTTTTTTCCGTACACACTAGGTTGTGTGTTGGAACTTGTTTGTCTCTGCACAAAATGGTGTTTATTTTGAAGAAATAAAGGTGACCCTGTATCACACGTAACAGTCGAATTAATTTTGATTTTGAGTTATAATATGTATTGTTTGTATATTTGACTTACAACGCCGTGTTAACTGGTGGTGCTTTTAATCACGAGTTCTTTTTTTGTATTTTTTAGGCATGACTGAAGAAATTGACCGTCTGATATGTGAAGGTTCATGTGTCGCTAAGTCAGCAATTGAATTTCAGCCGAATGGTGGTGCTTGTTTATTGAACATAATAAAGCTAATTGATTCCTCATATTTTGGTCCAGTAAAAGATTTGCATCAATTGGAATCTTGTTTAATTCACTTAAAATCTGTTACGTCATCATCGGTGTCATTCCCACTCGCTTATAATTTAAGTCAAATTGGCGTTCGTTTGGGCAGTGATGTGAATTGGTTAATACAATCAAATTTATCCAAATTAATATATGAAATATCATCTAGTAAACATATGGAATATGAAGAATTATCTAGTTTACCTGATTTGTATAATAATCGACTGAGGGATAATTACTTACCTTTAGGTGGGCAATTAACAGATATCGAATTAAATAACTGGATGATAGATAATGCGTACCTATCACTTTGTTCTGTAAGTATTATATATTATTACTATTCATTTTTAATAGTATTGCTGTTGTTTTGAAGAAACTACTTGGGTGTTTCTTTTCTTGCATTTTTCATGATTATGGGACTGTTATAAATTTTCTAGAATTCAACACTTGGCAGTGCCATAAGTTTTATTAATCTCATAGATTGACGTCTTGTTGATGAGATGTTCAAAAAAAATCTAAATCCCCATTCAAGTTGTCCATTTTAGCAATATTGACGTCTAACATTTAAGAACTCTAGGATGGGGAGATAAACATTTCTAACGTACCATACTAACCACTACTTGTAGTTGTGAAAATGGAATTTATTTCGAGAATTATTTAATTTGGTAATACCCATAAAATTTCGGACAGTAATATTTGCTTTTATATCGTCCTATAACAAGCCTGGTGAAGTGTATAGGTTCAAGTGTGAGGCTAGCAGCCCGACTTCGTAAAAACCGTTACTGAAACTTTAAAACCTAAGCTTGATAAAGCCCTGTGTTCCAATCAGAAAGTGGTAATGTGGTGAAGTGAATTCACCTCCTCTTCTATCTGTGTGGTATTTTTTTAAAAAAAAAAATTTCATATTTATTATGTGGTCACAAAGTATATATCTTCAGCATAACGTATTGTTTTTTTTCTGGCTTTTTCCGTTAAACGATATGTGTATGGGGTAAAAATCAACAGTCCCGACCAACGTCTGGTTTAGCATATATATCGCGGTATCTAATTCATTGGCCTAATAAACCACTGCGATGGATCTATCTATTTGCTTGGTTATTAAATGAAAATCCAATCGATCAGTCGACAAATTTATCTACAATAAAATTGAAGTCAAATATGTCAATACACGATAAGTTAACAATATATACAAATGTAATCATCAAATGTTTATCAGTAATTAATGAACTCCGTACTGAATGTCTTATGAATTCGGTAAGCCTTATGTGTATGTTTATGCTTTCATTCCCTAGTTTAATTTCAATAACATCCTGTAAAGATCGAGAGATCAATGATGAATTCCATTTAGCTTTTATTGCAAAATAATTTATAATTATTCCCAAGGGCATCTGTCTCTGTCTGTTTTCGACATAGAACTTTGCACAAATGTGCGGAAGTTCAAGTCGCCACACTCCGTGTAGCACGCGAAGCAAGAGAAGAGAGTAGAAGAAATGCATAATAGAGACAGTAAACAGAAGTGTGAGACAAAGGAATAGTAATAACGAAGAACAATATAGTTTCATTGGAAATCATAAGTCACAGGGAGTGGATGCATCTGCGTCATTGAGGACGATTTTGAGCCATGTCACCAATTGTTTCTAACCATTGGTTTTTACCGTCCCGAGGACCCCAACCCAGAAGTCTCCACCTTCCTACGTGGTTTAGACTAACTGTTGTAGATTTCATAGACTGGTGAGGCCATGTTTTGGTTTGACCACCACTAGCTCTTTTCCAGCCTGACCCTATGTCAGCTAACATTGCCCATTGTCGAGGAAGGCGATGACTAGGCATACGTAACACATGTCCTAACCATCTCAGTCGATGTAGCTTCACAGCCTCGTCGATTGATTTCCCCTCCTTACCTAGTACTCAACCGACACCTAACCTCAATATTGCTCACCTTATTATGCCACTTCACACGGGAGATAGAATGCAGGCACCTGTGATCAAAGACAGCTAATGTTTTCGTGTCTTGCACTCTCAGTGGCCAGGTCTCACAGCTATAAAGGAGGACGGAGTGGACTGATGAGCATTATACCCGCCCTTTGGTCGATATTCGGATATCTCGTCTACGCCAGAGACGGCGTAAACTGGCAAATGCGAAAGGAGCCCCAAATAAGAGAAGCAGTCAACATGCTCTACAACTTCACTTCCCATTTTTAAACTAGGAGTCGGTGTAGTCCAGTCCTGAAACATCATCTTGCATTTGGCGGGAGCGAATCGCATGCAAAACATTCGTAGGTTGCTGCTCAAGGTGTTTAGAAGACTCTGCATTATTCCGTGGTAGCAGGGAATAATCTCGTTGACTTAGGAGCATACTGCCTTTGAACCCGATGAATAATGAGTAAAGATAATTTGTCATAGCGAAAACGAATATACTAACAGGATGAAAAGAACTCACTTTTCCTTTCACCATGCCTCTTCATCTGCCGACAACTTGAAAATGATTATCATAGTAATGAAACAAGTGGTATTAAAACAAGATAGATAACTGAACAACCAGAGTTTATGTATACACAAAATGATGAAAAGTTTAAGTATATATATATATATATATATATATATATATGGGTGGAGTGAAAAGATATGGTAAGTAGAAGTAAAATCACTATATAAATAAGTGACTAAGTAAACTGGAGGGTTGATTATGAGTTCGTCTCAGCCATTGTAAACTGAAATTACCTGAAACTTGTGGCACAAAAGCAGAAACGAAAGCGTAGGATTTATTGTCAGGGTAGTGTGAAGTTAATCACATTATGTCTCTGCAGACAGAGGTCATGTCGTAGTCGTTTAATAACAGTAGCTTCTGCAAAACGAAGAAATCAGGGTTTTCTCAATATGTTGTCTATTCTGACTTATTTTGACTGCATGATTTTGTGTCGATTAGGTACCTAGGGATTGCACTTGGGAAACACTTTCCTGCTTTGCATACGAAGACTATTAGGGATATACTCAGAAAATCTACTAGACTCTGTCTTTTCATTCCTTATGTACTTGTTACCGCAAGTGCATGGGAAGTGGTCAGTGTAATTACACTTGACATTAGAGGTATACATATAAACTTCCGTTTGAATTGATCAGTATTTCGTGTTATAAAGTGGAGTCAATCTGCCAGTGGGAAATAAGACATAAAAAAACTTGTGGTTTTTGTTTAATTTTACATTTTTGTCAATATCTCTCCTTACTAGCTTTTTGCGTCTGCGTTAGTCAATTTCGGCTCATGGTTGTTGACTGTCTGCAAAAACAAGCGAATACCTATACAGTTAGAACAGTATGATCGTTTGTTGTGGAATCTTCGCCGTGCGGCTGTTCTCTTCCCGAATACACCAAATATACTGTCAACACTGATGTCTGTTTCTGCAGCAACCTGCGTTTAAATGATCACACATTCCCTCTCAATGATAATATTTCCTTTTCATCAAATGATCCATGAAGACAATAAATAAAACTGTATCCGGTGCCTTGTTTATCAACTCAATATTATTAATAACTTCTATTGAAATTATCATATTTTTATCGAAGTGCCGTCATTCATTTGTAATTGTTTAAAATATTTACTTAAAAGTTTGATGATTTGCAGTCGCATGAATGAAAATTCATCTATTTTCATTACTATTAAATTCTTTCTTTATAACTTCTTATCTGAGAACTAACTAGACAGTTTATACATGCAAGCGTTAGTTTCATGTGCTGGCTGCAATAGGTTCCACTTTAAGAAATAGCGCATACCTTTCACTAACAAATGGCTGTGTTTATTACGTATTAAAACACAATATCCTGTCACCAAGCTCATCTGTGTTTCAATATCCGTGGCAAATCAGTTAAAGAGTTGTATTTCACCTAGATTTCGAGCTAAGTGAAATTCAAAGGAACTCAAACCAATGTCATTTAGTTCTAATGTTGTTAACTTGTCAGTAAGATGTTCAATCTAAACATTAATGACCTTGTGCGTAAATGAATGAGTTGTATAATTCAGTAGTCCACCAGGTATATAATTCTCACAGTCCGCCTTTCATTTATGCAGAATACTCCGCTAAGTTTTGAAAGGACTTATTATTATGTGTACAGCTCCCATATGCTGAATTATTCAAAGATATTTAGACATAATTGCTAAAGTATTTGTAGGAAATATTTTGACTGTAATCAGTGATGCCTATTTTTTTTAAGAAATATGTTGAATAAAATGTCGACTCACTAAACTATAAATCTGGTTGTCTTTGAGGTTGTTACAAGCTCATTGTGTTTAGGAAAATAAAGCATAGTTTACTTATATTTCCTTCCATAAACAGCCAGCATTTCCTAGTGAACAACTATGAATAGTTCAGAAATGATCATTAGGATACGAGATGAAATAGTTCACTCGGCTAAAATCCAATCTTCTCAGTGTGGTTGTGGGTGTACACTACTGAAGAGTTTTGTCCTGGGACAGATTAGTGTCATGTACTGGAGGCACATTCTACTCAAGTTAGAGGAATCGACTACCGAGTACCACTCTGTCACAAGAGACAGCAGCCAATATTTGAGACGCGACTGATAACAAACTGATACCCTTATAATTGTTATACATCATACGGATAACCTTTTCAAAGATGAACACAGTAATTATTTAATCCCACTTTTATGAGTTATTGTCACTTTTCCATACTTTCTTGAACAATCCAGTCAACTCCGTGAAGAGGATCTTGTTACCGTCTTCGAAATTTGCCGGGGGTAGGTTTTTTGTGGGCCCTGTGTCTTGAAGCGTTTCCTTTTTGGTCTCCGACCCGTTTGTTGGTTTGGTTTTACTTATATTGGATGCTGACGTTGTTCGCTAGCTAAACTGTGTTTTGAGGTGCTCTACCTACCGTTCCACACGTCTTCTCAGGTGGGTGATCAGCATTCCATCTGTCTCACAGACTGTCTTGTTGATATTATGCTTCTTGTTGACGATGGCTCAGATGAACTGCAACAGCTTCTGACCGTTGGCAGATGCCGCTGTTGATTCTATCTGACACGCACGTTCTAACTAAGCTTTTAGGTCTTTACATAGGTACTGTTTAATCTTACTGTAAGCGTGTTGTTGTACTTGGTATCTGTCGGAATAAACTGGCGCGCATCTGGAAATTAAATGGAACTCGTGAAAACCCAATGGCTTACAGCGGGGCATTCTTTTAAGCTACAAGCGGATTTACTCGCCTTTTTTATGACATCTTGTAGGTGTAGCTAATGTTTATCTCTACCATTTGGTTACTAAGTAGCCTTAAGTTTGACTCTGGTTCTTCGCAAAAGTAGCAGCTGTTACCAATCTGCTTATATCAGCCTTTAACGGACATAGCTTATGAATACCGCCAAATCTCAAGTTGAACTGGACACACTAAAGCATGATCGGAACCGATCCCCATTATCTGACCTGCAACTATGTAGACCGCAATGACCTAGGTGACACTTCTCCGAGCCTAAACGCCCTACCCGTGTATTCAGATCCCCCAGTAGAAACTATGGCATCTCTCTGACATGCCTGCTTCAGAAGTTCGCTCAGTCGATAGCAAAACTCACCTTCAGTTACATCCGGGCTGCGGGCCGTCAGTTCCCAAGTAAAGATGACTATCAGGCACTCCCTCTCTAGCTGATCGCTTCTTATTTTGGTCTAACTTCCTACCTCACAACACAGACGACTGTTAATGGGATCCAGTCGATTAATGCATCTTTGACCCTAGCACTTAGTGCGACGCCGACACTACCTAAGATGAACACGGACACCACAACGTCGTCGGATAAGCACAGTTGTTACACAAAATTTGAACTTGCAGATGGAGAAGATCGTCGAAGCACTTCACTGGGGTCTTGAATGCGCATCTTTGAAATGCAGTAGACGTCGAAAGCGAGGCTTTCTAATGTTCTGGCCACACCTGCATTTTGTCCTATTTGTATCAGTATGCAAACATCAAAGGTAGCAAGATTGAATGCGATACGCAGTTTCTGGATTTCCGAGTTGGATTTTGCACCATATACATACGATTGTGCATCTTAATAATAAATTCGTTGAAAAAGTCTCTTCGCTTAAAATTATGTTCTGAATGTTACAGTGGGAATTATCAAATCACTGAAAACCACTAAAGTCAACAACTTTATTATTTGTAGCATTAGGAATGAAAACGTCAGCAGGAGAGCGTATGAAAAATTTGTTATGAGTATTTACATCAACAGAGGGTACAATAATACTTTTTTACCACAGCCAGTAATTTCGTTAGAAAGTTTCCACATGTTTGAGGGGGTTTTATATGATAAAAGTTTTTTGTTATGAAGAGTATTCAGACTTTGGATTTCAGATTTGTTTAAGATGTCAATACTTTTTAGACCAGACTTATCTTTATAATTATATAGCCGTTCTTTTTCTCTACGTAACTTTTTAAGATGAGAAGAGTCTTTTGAATAGTACTTGTTTCAGGCAACAGATGTCGAGGTAGAATTTAAGATAATCCATCATATTGATTGTGATTGTATCATCCAGTGTATGGAATTTAAGATAATCCATCATATTGATTGTGATTGTATCATCCAGTGTATGAGTATAGATGTGCCAGTTCAATCGGCGTTCAGTCTGATGGCTTGGTATATTTAAGCTCTCCTCGTTTCGATTGTCTTATAAGTTAACCACATCCGCATAAACAAAAAGAATACAATTCATCCTGATAAATAACAGCGATTAGAATATACAAGTGAAAGGAAATCCATAGGACGCATTTTCCGCCCCTTCATAGTACAGTAGCTAGTGGTAGATAACAGAATAATTTTCCGGTAACTGTCACATAGACTAAGTAGTTTGGTTTTCAAATTACTTAGTAACGTAACACGCTAATCCCATCAGACCTTCATGAATATCGCGGGCAGTTGTCAACTGAATTTAAAAAATGATGTCATGTGTGACTTGTCTGGAATAAACAACTCATAGTATTCTAATATTAGCGTCTGCTCTACCAAGCTATTCGGTGTCAGAGGTAAATGGAAGCCTGTGCTTTAAATTCCAGATCGCTAGTGCAATAGGCAGGCCAGACTACTTTTCAGTGACTGAATTCAGTCTACACGAAACCCGTAAACTGGTCTTCCAGAAGTGCTCCCACTCATTCAGGGGATCCTATGGTGATATTTTTATACTCTTACATTTAAAGGGAGATCTTCATGGAGTTTCATTCTGAATCTATATTGCAAGTTTTCATTTCTCAGTTACACCTGTATTCTAAGCATCTACATAATGTATTCCACAATGTAATACTTCAAGCGGGCTGTTTGATGCATCGTAGTTATATTTTCATAATAAACTTCGTTGCTCAACAATAAAAATCATATTTGAAAACTTAGTTTGGCTTTATTTTTAAATGCAACACAATTAGTGAAAATGCTAAACATGTGAGATCTTTAAATGCCGTATATCAGTCTAAAAGACGACCTACTTACTGCTGGTAATGTCAATCAAGTATCTTATTTTAAAAGTTGCAAGTGATGTGTGTTCATTCCCACAAACAATCTCGAGCTCCTGACGACAAACTGCATTAGGAACTCGTCACGCTGCACAATTCTCTCAAGCTCTTCCATCACTAATTTGCTTATGTATGCCTAACTTATGATGAGGCAAATACGTTTCGCTGTATCATTCTTGTAATTTGAGTTATTCGAAAATCTTAATTTTTACGAAAAGTTAGCCTGACGTTCAGGTTTGAATTCGAATTCCAGAAACTCGTGTCCAACTTTTTTTTGCCCAACATAACGAAGATGTAATAGTCTACCAACAATATAGTTTTCCAGTAAATTATTGTTCCTTATAGTGCCGAGGAAAGTGTCTTCTCATATTCTGACAGTATAATATGTGAGAAAAATTTGAGGCAGGAAACAGTCCACGTGACATGAGGAAGTAACACAATGAAGTTACTTAGTACGCAACACCTCAGGTCGGGTTATTAACGCAATACATAGCACTGCTCAGCTAGGCCACGAATTCCTAACGGAGGATAAAAGGTATACACTAGGTCCCCAAGTATACTGCTTTGCTCGTTACCCTTCAGCAAAGGCACAAACAATATATATATCTTGGTCCCACTAACTTAAGATCCGGCGAAAGAATCAGTACTTAGTAGAAATACTTCCCAGTAAACCAAAAGAGGGGAAGTGAGTCTATAATTGGAAGAAAAACGGAAAATAAAGGCGAATTCGCCTCTCAGTCTCCCTTTTATCAAATGGCGCGCTATGTCCCCTTTTTTGTAAGATTTATGCGCTTTTTTCGTCACTATGTCCCCGTTTCTCGCTTTATTTTCGCAAAACCTCTCCTTACCTGGTTCATAACTTTTACTAATAAAGGCCTTATTCTCACTCTAATACCTGTTACAGGAAACACAATTGTATT